CGCGCTCGGCCGCTATTGTGCGCCCGTCAAACCCAGCCCGCCCTTTGACAGCGGGCGGGTCATCAGCGGTCCGCCCGCGTCCCTTCCTGTGACGTCACTATGGTCCTGGAACGCAAGCTTAGCGAAGCGTAGCCCAGCGCCAGCGGTGCATTGTTGTCATTGTTGTGGGTACATAGGCATTAAAAACAATCAGTTCTGCTAGCATCATGTCTCTCTCGTCCAATGGTGTAGAATGGTGTGTAATTTGACCTCCAAAGATGAACATTTTTTAAGGTCGAGCTCATGACCTGACCGGTAAAAATCATGTTGCATCCCAATCGATTGCCTATTGTAAAACTGAACGCATTGCAGCTGTTTTTACTGCTCTTCCACGTCTCATCACATGTCAATTGTCCAAAAGTGTTTTTTTTTCGACTGCTTAACCCTCGCCGGCACGGGGGAGGATGGGGGGGTATCCATTTCCAACCATCCCCTAAGGTTTTTCGCGAATAACTCGCGTAAAAAGCGGCCGATCGCGACGAAACTTTCAGTCCCTCGCATTGATCAATTTTACACCTACCCTGAAAATTTCATGACCTTGACCCAAATGACCTTTGACCTGTGACCTACTTTCCGAGACCATGTTTGGCCGGGATCGCGATTCGGCGTATGTCGGCTCGCATAAGCCGCGCGTTTGCAAGCTTTTTGTGGTTTCAAGTGCTCAAAAATGTGATTTGATGTTGCTCCCATGCATTTGGGTGGATGTGAAGGTCACCTCAAGGTCAGGTCAGGTCATTTACCTTTGGTGACCTCGGACCACTTTTTCGAGTTTTACATGTTTCTAGGCTAGTTTTGGAGCTGAATTCGAATTTAGCAACCATTTGAACATTTACGAAGTAGTGTTAGTGCCTTCGTAACACGTTACAAAGCTGTTAGAGGCGGTTGACACGTATTACGAATACCCGTCACAACCCCTACTGGTTGACCTGACCTGACCTGACCTGACCTGGTCTAAATGCTCAATGACATCATCTGTGATCAAAACTAACACGATATTCGTGATCGGCACCCCGGGAAAACCCCATAGCAGCCACACTTCACGACTTTCTAACAGGTCCCGATTTTTCCGACTTCTGGGTCATTGACCTGACCTAGAAGGTCAATCGATGACCTAGGACCTTAACATTGGGCATCATCGGCTTCCTCTCGTGACGGGCAACATCGTGACGAGCTCGTTTTTTCCGCGAAACTCTAGCTCTCAGAGGAGTGCAAGATAGAAATATCCCTGCACTGCAGACCCGTTGGCTAAAACCTCTACTAGAAAGGTTTAGGTCTTTCAAAAGTGTTACTTCAACAAAACAGCTTTCGCGTGACACGTGCCACCATGGGTGGAGCTTTTCAGAGGAAGTTGGTGGGGCAAAAAGGCATCAAACCTACAGTCTACACTGTCCGACTGTGAAGTTGATTAAAAATGAACACTGAATCAATTCCTGTCGTTGCAAATGTAACATTTTGTATAGCACAGACATTCCAAAGCTCCTCAATGATTGATTTGAAAAGCAACAAAGTCCTGCAAATCAGCTTAATTCGGTGGGGCAAAACACTTATTGGTGGGGCAAAATGGCAAGTTGGTGGGGCAGCCGCCCCACCAACTGTACAGGAAGCTCCACCCCTGCGTGCCACGACGATCACCTATATGTATGTAGATGTATTAAGAGCAATTAATCACATGGTAGAAGAAATAGGCTTCCCAACAAAAAGGGTGGCAGGTCGATCAGCCCAACCACTGCAACGGATACTGACTACTGAGGCATGAAATATATGCCTCTCAAAAGCGTTACAGGCTGGGCCGGGCCGTTAGGTATATGTAAATGCTGATAACTTTCCGTTATCTTAAAAATATTTCGCCGTTCGCTTGCGCGGTCCGTTCGCTCGTAATAATATTTCTCCTGCGTTTTAACCCTCGCCCGTATTCGTGTTTGCCAGCGTCTAACGTATGGGGGGGGGGGGGGGTCCGTTGGACCCACCTTGCCGTTTGGCCTCTGATGGAGCTAGAGCTTCGCAGAAAAAACGAGCGTGTTGCCCGCGACGAGAGTAAGCCGATGATACCCAATTTTATGGTCTTATTTATGTCATTGGTTGACCTTCCAGGTCAGGTCAATGACCCAAAAATCGGAAAAATCGGGACTTGCTGGATGCTCGTAAAGTGATGTTGAAAAAGGAATTTTGCGGGGTGCTGAACACGTAGTTCATGTTAGTTTTGATCACATACTTATGATGTCTTAATGTATTTAGGCCAGGTCGGGTCAGGTCAGGTCAGGTCAACCAGTAGGAGACCTGCCGGCCATCCATAGCAGGTGTTGACCCCCACTGACAGCTTCGTAGCGTGTTACGATAGCACCAAAACTACTTCATAAATCTTCAAATGGGAATTCGAAATCAGCTCCAGAAACTGCCCTAGAAATATGTAAAACTCGAAAAAGTGAAGCAAGGTCATCAAAGGTCAATGACCTTGACCTGACCTTCACGTGACCTTGAAACCCACACCACAAAAAGATTGGAAATTACGCGGATAATGTGAGCCGACATACGCCAATTCGCGATTCCGGTCGAACATGGTCTCGAGAATCAGACCACGGGTCAAAGGTCATTGGGGTCAGGGTCAATGATTTTAAAAATATGTGTAAAATTGATTAACTTGAGGGTACTGAAAGTTTCGTCTGGATCGGCCGCTTTTTGCGCGAATTATTCGCGAAACCCAGGAGGGGGGTCCGTTCGACCCCGCTGTAAGTGCGAGTGCTAAGTCACTAACAATCTGTCGTTAAAGTAAAAAAAAAGGTTATGCCTCGGGCTGAGAGGGCAAAGTTGTACAGTTGGGGTACTTAAGCACATCATGCAGGAAAGACCAGGGAGGTATGGACGGTTTTGTGAAAGGGCAATTTTCTTCCAGTGGGAAGTGGCTAGACCCGGTTTTTCACTCTGTGTACGTGAAATTGCCCTTCGCCTGCAAAGTGTGCCTGATATTAGGCATCTGGGGTCAACTATTTTGTCTCGAGATAACTTTCAATAAATCATGCGCTTTTTCAATCCATCAAAAAAACACCGGGAGGTACGGGCCATGGCCCGGGAGGTATGGGCCGGTGCCATGTTTCATATTCTTTTCTCGATAATGAGAACATACTCGTAGCTGGTATCTACCTTGATCTCTCTTAGAGCTCAGGAACCGTACAAGCGGCCAACAGCTTACTTCATGGGGGTCACGTGGGCACATATGTATTTTGGTAAACTCAATCATGCTCCATGAAAGAAGATAAATAATATTTTTCTGTTCGAATGAAATTTGTAGTTAAATTTTCGACCTTACGCGACAACAATAAAACTAATTGAAAATGAAGAGGACATTCAATGAAGGCATCATTTTATTGATTTAGGATCAACGGGGGTGGGTGGCCCGAACCTCTCGGTTTATAGGACGCCAGAATGTGCGTAGCACCTCAGCTCATAATCTTGCAAGAAAGCTTCATATTGTCTATCCAGTCTTAATTTGCATGCTTTAAACTTTATATCACCGATGGTCTGACATCATAAAACGAGCCTGGTTCAAATTTATCGCGAATTTTCTATAGGAATGTACCGTATTTTACTCGAAGAGAGCAAAACACTATTTATGGCCTTGGCAAAAACGCTTTATCACCCCACCGCTCATTGCAAAAGAAGATTGAGGAAAATTTTGGAAATCACGTGGGTTGTATAGGGGAATGGCTGCTACCAGTTTACGCGATCAAATGTGTAAAAATACGCAACACTTCTTCAAAACTGCGATGGCCCATACCTCCAGGGGGCCCATACCTCCCGGTCCCGGGTCTCCTCTAGGTATGTACTTACATGCATACCTACATTCTCGAATTAAACATCAATAATACCTACCTACTAGGTATACGCATATTGCTCTTTGGAACGTCGCTTTCGGTATGGGGACAGGGGAAATCATGGGTCTGAGCCAGCTGACACGGGTGACACCCCTTCAGTGGGGTTCTGGCATGGTCTGCGTTGGATCACCCACTACCACAATGAGCGGTTCCTCAAAACCAGCGTAATTGACCGGTGTGAGGCGGCGACGTGAGGCACGCGAGTGCGGGATCGTCCCCACGCCGTGGCGGTCCGGGTCAGGGGAGCAGCCCCCTCCCCGCGCGGCGGGCGGTCGCCCATTCATCCGCGACCCCAGCCCCATGACTGAGGGGTTGACAGAGGGCAAACATCACGTATTTAAACTAGGCACACAGACGGTGTTCTACGCTAGGGACATCTCGCGGCTGTGATTCACGATACTGCTTCGCCAAACTGCCTTTAGATGGTGGGTCAGTCGGTGTCCGTCTGCTGCTGTGCGCCGAGAATTAGCACTATAAATTACGATGAATTACACATTCTAGTGTGACGATACCGTCACATTATCATAAAGGTCGCGTTAAGATGCAAATGAAGAAACGACTGCGTTGAAAAAAATATGTCATTTCATCGAACGCTGAAATGCTCGAAGTGCTCGCTAAAAAATAAACTCGCTAACTGAGCCCTGAAGGTCGGCTGCCGTGTTGCATTGCAGTTAAGCCAAAAACGCGGGCTGGGTGTAAGTTGTCGAGAAACAATTTTTGGCCTGAAGTGTTCTCTAAAGTATTATCTACATAGATCCAGGGAACATATTTGCTATCTATGATGGCTTAGGAGATATTGAATCTTAAGTCCTCCGGTGTACCCTGTTTTGCGGCGGCCCACGTGTTAAAAGCTGCTGAACATTTTTACTTTGACCAAAAAACGCGGGCACAGTTTTGTCTGTACGAAAATGACTCTTGCCCTATCGCATTCCACGTGAACTGAAAATTCAGAAACCAGGGAACATATTTGCTACGACCAGTACTTCTCGCGATTCAGACCGAAACGTGAAAAAATAGCCCCAAAACCCTATGGTGGGCACCTCTTCGCGGCGCCCGGCCGCGGGTCGCTAGTTCCCCAAACGACACACCATGTTTTGAATAAACCCACATTCAACCTGAATGATTGTTGAAATGTCGCATGTCCGTTTGCTGCTTATGCCAATGCTGATGCTCGTGTAAATAATCGGCCACATAATTTATGTCTGACCTAAGGTCACTGATACCAAAATCTAGGACGCGCATTTGATGTATTTTGTCACTCTCGTCAATCAGTGCATAGGATTTATCGGTAAGCTAGTGTAGCTATGGCGAACATTACAATTCTTATGGTGAGGTCACTTGACGTGAACTACCTTTTTTCATTAGAATTAATCTTTATAAAATCCAATTTAATCTTAAGAACATTTGTATTAAAACATGTAACATTAGTTTTAATCTAAGTAAAGTTTGATTTAACCCTCGCCGGACCTATTGGTTTTCTACATACGCGCCGGCCGAGGGGGGGGGGGGGGCGGGTACGACCCCCCCCCCCTCGCCGTTTTGCCCCTGGTGGAGCTAGCGCGTCGCGGAAAAAACGAGCGTGTGCGCCGTTACGAGACACAGAGATTGGTACCCGATTTTAAGGTCCTAGGTCAACCGGTGACCTCTGAGGTCAGGTCAAGTGCCCCAAGGTACGGTTCAGTTTTTGGTGAATAACTTCGCAAACAACGGCCGCAGAGCGCCGATTTTGGCAGCATCGTGTTCGTCTCGCTCAGGCGCGTCGAATGATATACTTTTTGTCCGGGTCAGGTCAACTTGGGGTGTTGACCTCAGGTCAAGGTCAGGTCAGCACCCCTAGGTCACGAAGTTGGTCGAAAGAGGTCATGTCGTATATCATTCGATCCGGCAGGTCTTCCTGAGTCCATTGGTGGCTTTCCCGACTCGCTAGCTCAATTTGATCAAGAGTTATTGACGAAAAACTAATATGACCTTGATGACGTCATAAATGACGTCACGCAAGGTCAAAATTGCAAAAGTGACGCATCTAACCTTGCAAGGAGTGCATCAAATCACGATTCTGTGTGCTTGAGATAGTTGGAGATCGTTCCCGGCGACAGAATAGCAGTTTTCATTTTTCCCCATTGACTTATAGGTAATGGTGAGGTCACGAAAATGACCTGACCTCATATGACCTTTAGTAAAAATCCGAGATATACAAGCTGTGGGACTCATAATGGATACTAGATCCTGCAAGTTTCATTTCCCTGTGACATCTCCTCTGGCAGTGAGGGCGTTGCGAAGTTGCGACATCTGAAGACCGTGCAGAGGTTCACTTATGACGTCATAGGTCAGTGACCTGACCTGACCCAAAAATGCGGTTGGTGTCAATAGATCCGGCTTGGATCAAAGGTCAGGTATGCCAAATTGCAGCCCTCTATCCCCAGCGTGTTCGGAGCTATCGCGAAAAAACTGTATGGGGGGGCGGCACCCGCCCCCCCCCCCCCTCGGCCGGCGAGGGTTAAAACTTATAACGTTTGTATTAAAACTTATAAAATCGTATTTAAGCTTTATAAATTTCATTTTAAACCAGGCAACCATAAACCACAAAGCCACCCAAAGGAGTCGAAAACAATTATACTTAGGGTTTCTAGCGGAACCTAATTTTCGATTGATTTTATCAGCTCTGCGTTTTTGCAGCATTTTAGGGTGTTTCAAAACTGGTATCGAATTTGCTATTCATTTAAGCATTTGGGGATTATTACGGAAAATTACATTGAAGCTGATGCCACATGTGGCAAAGCTGTCAATAGCGTTCAATAAACATTAAACACATTGACTAAGAAATCGGGACGCCTGACTTGACCATGCCTGACCCAGCCTACCCCAAATGCACAAATACATTGTTACTGAATAAGATGATTGCCAAATTTAGAGCCAGGAGCCCCAAATGGTAGATACTCCAGAAAACCTATCTGTGAAGTTGTAGCATTAGGGTCGTTTGACCTGGCCATGAATGTAAAAAAATGACACGAGGGGAAAGATCGCGGGCTTCTTCGGGTGACGAGCAATACGCTCTTTTTTTTTTGGAAACTCTAGGACGATCAGGGGCTGATCGGCTGCGGCCCTATCTATCCCACACATTGCCTTTATGGCTGTAAAAACGACAATACGTGTGAGTGCTTAATTTGTCACATACAGTTAAAAAACTGTTTCCGTTTACGTTTATTCAAGTCATTTTAAATGTTCCAAGGCAAGTAGTTATGGAGACTGGAGTCCTTTCCTTTCCAATACTAATTACCTCATAATTCCTTTTAATATTTCATTTCCACTTTTCCTGTAAGGTTGGTAGGTACTTAACTTAACCCTCGCATGTGTAGGGGGTCGGATGGACCCCCCATGGTTTTTCGCGAATAACTCGCGTAAAAAGCGGCCGATCGCGACGAAACTTTCAGTACCCTCGCATTGATCAATTTTACACCTACCCTGAAAATTTCATGACCCTGATCCTAATGACCTTTGACCTGTGACCTCTTTTCCGAGACCATGTTTGGCCGGAATCGCCATTCCGCGTATGTTGGCTCGCATTAGCCGCGCGTTTGCAAGCTTTTCGTGGTTTCAAACGTTCAAACATGTGATTTGATGTTGCTCCCATGCATTAGGGTGGGTGTCAAGGTCACTTGAAGGTCAGGTCAGGTCAGTGACCTTTGGTGACCTCGGTTCACTTTTTCGAGTTTTACATGTTTCTAGGCTAGTTTTTGGAGCTGAATTCGAATTTAGCAACCATTTGAACATTTACGAAGTAGTTTTGGCACCTTCGTAACATGTTACGAAGCTGTCAGAGGCGGTTGACACGTACTACGAATACCCGTCACGATCCCTACTGGTTGACCTGACCTGACCTGACCTGACCTGGTCAAAATGCTTAAGGACAAAACTAACACGATATTCGTGATCAGCACCCCGAAAAACCTCTTAGAAGCCACACTTTACGACTTTCTAACAGGTCCCGATTTTCCCGACTTTGGGTCATTGACCTGACCTGGAAGGTCAACCAATGACCTAGGACCTTAAAATTTGGTATCATCGGCTTCCTCTCGTCACGGGCAACACGCTCGTTTTTCCGCGAAGCTCTAGCCGATCAGGGGCCAAACGGCAAGGGGGGGGGGTCCAACCGACCCCCCCCCCCTACACATTAGAAGCTGGCAAACGCCGCACACATGCGAGGGTTAACCCTCGCCGGCCGAGGGGGGGGGGGCGGGTGCCGCCCCCCCATAGGGTTTTTTTCGCGATAGCTCCGAACGCGCTGGCGATAGAGAGCTGAAACTTGGCATACCTGACCTTTGATCCAAGCCGCATCTTTTGATACCAACCGCATTTTTGGGTCAGGTCAGGTCACTGACCTATGACGTTATAAGTGAACCTCTGCACGGTCTTCAGATGTCGCAACTTCGCAACGCCCTCACTGCCAGAGGAGATGTCACAGGGAAATGAAACTTGCAGGATCTAGTATCCATTATGAGTCCCACAACTTGTATATCTCGGATTTTTCATAAAGGTCATATGAGGTCAGGTCATTTTCGTGACCTCACCATTATAAGTCAATGGGGAAAAATGAAAACTGCTATTCTGGCGCCGGGAACGATCTACAACTATCTCAAGCACACAGAATCGTGATTTTATGCACTCCTTGGAAGGTTAGATGCGTCACTTTTGCAATGTTGACCTTACGTGACGTCATTTATGACGTCATCAAGGTCATATTAGTTTTTCGTCAATAACTCTTGATCAAATTGAGCTAGCGAGTCGGAAAAGCCACCAATGGACTCAGGAAGACCTGCCGAATCGAAGGATATGCGACATGACCCCTTTCGACCAACTTTGTGACCTGGGGGTGCTGACCTGACCTTGACCTGAGGTCAACACCCCAAGTTGACCTGACCCGGACAAAAAGTATATCATTCGACGCGCCTGAGCGAGACGAACACGATGCTGCCAAAATCGGCGCTCTGCGGCCGTTGTTTGCGAAGTTATTCACCAAAAACTGAACCGTACCTTGGGGCACTTGACCTGACCTCAGAGGTCACCGGTTGACCTAGGACCTTAAAATCGGGTACCAATCTCTGCGTCTCGTAACGGCGCACACGCTCGTTTTTTCCGCGACGCGCTAGCTCCACCAGGGGCGAAACGGCGAGGGGGGGGTCGTACCCTTAAGATACAGGTGTATACGAGAACAGTAAATCAAAACTCACGTTCCACTCCAACCCATGAGTAGACTTACGTAGGTACTTGTGTATCACATAGGGCGGCCTTGCTATGCAAGTGTGCGTGGTTTAAAATTAATTTTATAAGGTTTAAATAGGACTTAATACGTTTTAAATCAAACTTTATAAGTCTTAAAATGAACTTCACATAGATTAATGTGAATTTTACATGTTTTAAATCAAATGTTCCAAAGATTAAATTGGATTTTACAAAGATTAATTCTAATGAAAAAAGGTGTAGTCGGCTGACCTTCACCCTCGCGGGCCCGGGGGCGTTTTTCGCCCCCTGACGAATATTTGCGATAGCTCCCGAGCGCTTAGGGATATAGGAGTGCGAAACTTCCAGTACCTTTTCTCCCACTAATTTGACATCTTCAGAAATTAATTAGAAAATGAAACTAGCCCACTTGAAGACATCACAGGGTCGATTTTTCCAGATTATTGCACGGCTTATTTCGACGTCAAATAGATATGTGAACTTAAAAAAATGCCAAAATAGAGTTTTAGAGATGAAACAAATAACGGGGAAGCTTATATAGCATATAACCTAGGGAAAATGCAATTATAATTTTGTTGACCTGAGGTAAGAGGTCAGGTCAACGATCCTGAGCTGGGATTATTGTTTTTCGCAAATGCCTAACTTAAAGAAATGGTCATAGAGCTAAGGTATTGATACGGACGCATTTATATCGTCAAGACGAGTCGAATTGCATATAGGTATTTTTCCTGGAAAAGGTCAAGTCTTATGCTGGCCCCATGTGACGTTGAATGACCTTAAGTTGACCTTGACACATGATGGGAGTTATGTGAAGTATTTGTAACCGCTGATCACGAATCTGGCATTCATTTCGCTCTAAACATCCATTTAGAGCCTCAGGATAGCGAAAATGGCTGAGTCATCCCTCGTCGACCGAAAGGGGTGCCGCCCCCATAATATTTTTTTCGCGGCAGCTCCGAACAACCCAGCGATAGGAAGCTGAAACTTTGCATACCTGACCTTCAATTTAAGTCGGATCTTGTGACACCAACCAAATTTTCAGGTCAGGTTAGGTCACTGACCTATGAGGTCATAAATGAATCTCTGCACAGTCCTCAGATGTCGCAACTTCGTAACGTCCTCAGTGCCAGAGAAACTTTCACAAAGAGATGAAAATTATAGGACGTAGTATCCTCCCGTGTCTCACAAATTGTATATCTCGGAATTTTATTAAAGGTCACATGAGGTCAGATCGGTCATGTGACCTCACCTCTAGGTATAAGTCAGTGGGGGACAATGAAAACTGCGATTTTGGCGCCGGGGACAATCTCAAACGAAGCACACGGAATCGTGCTTTCATGCACTCCTTGCAAGGGCCGATGTTTCACTTTTGCATTGTTGACTTTGCGCGAATGACGTCACTTCTCACTAGACACTAGGATTATAAGAGTTTTTCGTCAATAGCTCCCGATCAAATTAAACTAGCGAGTCGGGAAAGCCACTAATGGGCTCAGAAAGACCTGCCGAATCAAATTATATGCGACATAACCTCTTTCAACCAGCTTCGTGACCTGAGGGCTCTGACCTGAACTTGACCCGAGGTCAATACCTCATGTTGACCTCATCCGAACAAAAAGTATGCCATTCGACGCGCCTGAGCAAGGCAAACACGATGCTGCCAAAATCGCGGCGCTGCGACAGCATTTTGCGAAGTTATTTATCGAAAGCCGAACCCATACCTTGGGCCACTTGACCTGAAATCAGAGGTCACCGGTTGCCCTGGGACCTTAAAATCGGATACCAGTCGCTGCGTCTCGTAGCGGCGCACACACTCGTTTTTTCCGCGACGCTCTAGCTCCATCAGGGGCAAAACGGCAAAGGGGGTCGAACCCACCCACCCCCCCCCCCCGGCCGTCGCATATGTAGAAAACCAATAGATCCGGCGAGGGTTAAACCTAATTGCTGGCTTGATCAGTGAAAACTGAAATAGCCTGTAGTAGGGATATTTTTGCGTAACCTTGACCTTGAGGCAGCCTTGTATCGTTACAAGAGCCAGAAATAGGGGCCTGATAAGCTCCAAGATATTTCAAAGCATGTTGAAACTTAAGTAGGTAGGTATACAAGACATACGAAGAACTGCAAAATTACCTACAAGTCAATTTGGACATGAACTTGACCCTTACCTTGAACTTGGAGTACATCATCTGGTTTCTTATCTCCCCTCAATTCTTTGGTTTTACATCCATTTTGGCCGGTTTCATGCCTTCTTGCCGTCCTCTGGATTGGAACATTTGGTTTGATCTCACCACACATGTGCATATTTTTGCCATAGACTTTGACCTCATCTCGGACAAGGAAAATTGGCCTGAGGTCAACAGTTTTAGGTGTTCAAGAATCGACTTGTGGAAACCTTTCGTTTGATACCGCTTTTGTTCCGGTAGCTCCCTTATTTACGGAGCTAGACGGAGGAGGGCGAAAACGCCCCCTCCGGACTGCGGTGTTTGGATTACCCCCGGGCCCGGCTGGGTTAGGACCCGGGACTGAAATTTACACATCGTGCACTGCAGATAGTAGATGTTTTATCATTTTTTAAGATTCTTAACAAAAATCGGAGAAAAAGTTGTAAAATGCCGTCCTCTTCGTGGCGCGGAATAAGGTCAGGTCAAAGGTCAAAGTCCACCATAGTTGAATTTTCCCGATGCTCACACATCCCGGTCATTTCACTACTTTGGTAACAGTTAATTACAATAAGTAAATAGCGGACGAGTCAGCCGGTTGTTACCGGTATACGCCGAGCTGGTGTAAGCCAGGCTCGGGAGACGTCGTTGGTGCCGCCTACCGGCCGTCCCCCGAACTACGGTCACCAGTACGAGCGGCGCTCGCCGGCCGGTCATCGGTCGCAACTCAGTCTGCCGCAGTCCGCCGTCGTGGTGGTGTCGGGGAGTGTGTGCGTGTAAGCCGGTCGGATCGTTGGAACTTCTGCGTCAGGGTAGTGAGCTTGCCTTGTAAGTGATTAGAAAGCCGGGTGCCGACCAGAGCCTCGAAGTGCAACACTGCAAGCTTCGTCTCAGTCGTTGTGTCACTGCGGGTTCAGCACACAACCATCTAACCACGGCTCCTGCAGGTAACTGCAGAGCCGGCGGCGGAGGGCGGGGAGGCGTGGCGCCAGGTCGGGCCGGTCGGCGGCAGCGGTTACCAGCGCGGAGGCTCAGCAGAATACCTCATGAAGCCGGACAGAAGCGGTAGCGGTAGCGGCGGAGGTGGGGGAGGGGACGGGGGCGGGGAGCGGTCGGCGCTGGCCGCTGCCGTTCCGCCCTCCTACGACTCCTGCGCGCGGGTGGATGATGAGGAAGAATTTGCTGATGAGCCGGCGGTGGTCCGCGAAGCGCTGGCAATGGAGTCGGCGCACCATGCCGGCACTATGACACAGATGGATGCTATACTATTCATCGTTGGAGAACTTGCTGGCGCTGGCCTGCTGGCACTCAGCGAGGCGCTCTCGAACACAGGTGAGCGACAAAAACATCACCCGTCTGCGGGTGACGTATAGGAGAGGGGTGACCGGTAAACGGATGGTGGGACGGCTGTGGCTACCCGACCAGATCAGCTGCTTAGTAGATGTATGGGGACCCGTTCATGGTCAGGCAGTTGTGGCGAGCCCTCCCGCGCCGACGGCACAGATCGGGTGGTCATTTGTCGGATAACTTGGGTCTGACTACATGGAGGCCGTCTAGTAACCTCGTCTGCGGTATGGAGTAGCTATGATAGTAGCCACCCATCCCACCAAGAAACAACACTAATGAAAACCGGTAAATTCAGCAAAATTGCTCTTTTTAATGTCAAGCGAACATCGGAACACCTCTGATGGCTGCAGCTGACGACCCAAACTGGTTTCTGGTAATTCATGAGGCCTAATTAGGTCGGAAATTATAAAAGGTATTCACCAAACCGGCTCTGGTGGGTCATTATGAGAGCTAATGTTAGCACTAGTCGGCTGATACTGATGTCTACGACTGTCCGTTCGAAACGCGCTCATATTTATTGGGCCCCGGAGTGTCGGACGCAGCGGGTAAATTGTACGTCTTTCACGGAAAGACTTATGCAAACCATTTGGATCTATGTGCCCGGCGATTTACATACGCCGTTGAAGGTGGCACCTCTATCTACGTCTTTGCAATAATACCTAACGTTCGCACTCAGTGCGCATGTCGCGCTGCGCAGCGTTGACCAGAGACAGAGCCCGTGTTATGGTCATCTGCGGATGATACGATCTACCATTACATAACGATGACGTCACGACTGTCCAAACTGTCCGTCCACCCCATGCCTACGTGCAGGGACGGGGCTCTAGGGACCACGCCGTTCACCGTGTCTCCTGGCTGATCAGCTGATGACTAGTGTTTTTCCAATGGCCGTTTGCTTTGAAATGCTCGCCACTTCACCCCGCGTTTCGAGTGGCCTGTTTTTTGTGGGTCACTATTTCGTTGAATGCCTGGTCAGGTCGAATCTGATCATCAGTCGTCGGGGAAGTGCAATGCTACATAGTAATAAGCACTGTTTGACTATAACATGGCATCCACTTCCCAATCCTTTTCTGCTGGCATTGTCATTCAGACATTGTAGTCCCTCGCTCCCAGATTTGTAATCTAACCACGAGGGGCTGGTCAAGGTCAGGGTCTCACCAGATCGGTCCGTACTGGACTAAACACGGACCGGACTGGACCAGACACAACGGAACGGTTCGGATCGGATCCATTAGTCGGGTCTGAAGTAGGGTCTTTGATACGGACCGGACTGGATCCTGGTCCTCGGTACTTGAGAAGGTCCCGTGGCTTATCGGTCAGCTAAGACCGCTTTTTGTCAAGATTACTTTACTACTCGCTTTCTGTAGTTAGTATTGGGGATATAAATTTCTGATGCAAATAATGATCGAACTTACACAAATGCGTTCCAAAAAAGTTTGATTATTAAAAAGCCACTCTAAAATTAATGGTTAAAAAACCTTGAGCATTGTGATTGGGTAACAATAATTGCTGTAACCGTCTAAAGCTTTTGAAATTATTTATCATTGCCTTTTCACTGGTCTTCTAAAGATATTAATGTTTTGTATCGGTGCAAGATGTTTATGAGTCTTTACTTTGCTTTACTTTAACTTTAAATTCTTCCGTGTCCCTCAGGTGTAATCGGCATCCTGTTGATTCTAATGTGTGCCAGCGCTGCGGCCTATACGGGTGGCCTACTGGGGCGCACCTGGATCTACCTGGAGAGCCAGTACGCTGATCTCAGCACGGGACACGTGCGACAACCGTACGCCGAGATGGGACGGCGCACCTACGGCTCGTGGATGGGGTGAGTTGACACTCCCTCGATTTCGGGGTGGGGTGAGTTAGCGCTTCTATGGTCCCTGAGTGGGGTGAGATTAGCCCACCTACAGCTTCAGGGTGTTATCAGTCTTAAAGGGACCCTCCCACCTTAACATTAGTTTTGAGTTGAGATAGCCAAATTGGTGGCCATGGCCTGCAAATACCGGTTTGGGCACTCACAACATCGAAAAATGCTTTAATTCGAAGATATGGAATTTCAAACTTGCAGTTTTCGGATTCTAAGGGGCTAATGCATTGGAATGCCCCCTGAGAATTTGTGACGTCAGCGGAGATCTAACTATTTTTAAATCTTAGACTAAAACCATCGTTAACACGTGGTGGTATACGCTGCTTTGCGCGCAACGTCTGCCGCATTTTAAGGCTGCCAAATTATTGCTTCCAAATAAAGTCGCTAGTAACGTTTAGTGCAATTAGATTAATAAAACATTGCCGCAACCAAAAAAATTAAATTTTCGTCATAAAATAAAAGTAATTATATTTTACGGAAGATAAACAAATGATTTCTCCCACCGCTTGACGACACGCCCAAATTCCCGGAAAACCTCGTGACTCGTGGCCAGCGTGACTGTCGTTCACAGAGATGGCTGATTCACAGAGGGCAGAGACCAGCATACCGCCCGTTTCATGCTGTTTACATTCGTACCGCAGCTGTCACTACGCTGTTCACTTGGCAACCAAGGCGTCAAGGCTTCGTACACAGTTTCCGTAAAACAGCTACGGGAGTTCAATGGCACCATTTTTGTAAACGTTCAGGTGCACAGATGCCGACATCAGCAGTATGGGTGCGGACTGCGGATGACATCACCGCGTGGTGCTTACAGGAGTCATTAACCTCTTTATACGTCGATCGATACATAGGTACAGTCACCAGCACTTGCTACTAATCACCTCGTTTTTGTTCAGTAGTTTGAAGACCGATCAATTCTCAGTCGCGCAAGTTACGTCAAACGATCCGTTTGGTCCTCCGATTTTCGAATATCTAACTTGTTTTTGTATATTCGATGCATTTTGGGATGGGGAGCCAAAAAACTCGTTTCTGCCCTAAAGTGTGCCCCAAGAAGTCGTAGAACCTAGCCCCGCCTCTGATCCACAGACCACTAGTGCCATCTCTTGTCAGCCGAACAAGTCGCAGAAGTAAATAATGTCACGTGACCTTTGCACACGCTACAATTACTACGCAGCTGTAGTGGGGGAAGCGGGACGGAGGCGTGGAGAGGGACGCGATCGGTCGGCTGGGGTCAGGTCGCCGAGGTCAGAGGTCATCCGCCGGAGGGTGTTCGAGCGGTTGGGCCGTGTGGGCTAGGGCCTGCGGAGTGGGGAGCGCCTGGACCTGTCTGGAAACAAGCCACAACGCTGTGACAGTCGAGAATATTGTGAGGAAAGAGAGGAAGAGAGAGGGGAGAGAGTGAAAGAGAGAGGAGAGAGGGAGAGAGAAAGGGAGAGGGAGAGATAGAAAGAGAGAGAAAAAGAGAGGGAGAGAGAGAGGGAAAGAGAGAGAGAGAGGGAGAGAGAGAGGGAGAGAGAGAGAGAGAAAAAGAGAGAGAAAAAGAGAGAGGGAGAGCGAGAGCGAGAGCGAGAGCGAGAGCGAGAGCGAGAGCGAGAGCGAGAGCGAGAGCGAGAGCGAGAGCGAGAGCGAGAGCGAGAGCGAGAGCGAGAGCGAGAGCGAGAGCGAGAGCGAGAGCGAGAGCGAGAGCGAGAGCGAGAGCGAGAGCGAGAGCGAGAGCGAGAGCGAGAGCGAGAGCGAGAGCGAGAGCGAGAGCGAGAGCGAGAGCGAGAGCGAGAGCGAGAGCGAGAGCGAGAGCGAGAGCGAGAGCGAGAGCGAGAGAGAGAGAGAGAGAGAGAGAGAGAGAGAGAGAGAGAGAGAGAGAGAGAGAGAGAGAGAGAGAGAGAGAGAGAGAGCTAAGAAAGACTGGGGGGAAAGAATAAGGACGGGAGGAGAGAAAAGAGAGAGAGAAAAAAACTGAAAAGGAAAACCAGAGAGGGTAAAATGAGAAAGAGGGCAATTGGTAAATCAGTGAGAGGGAGCGAGAGAGGAAATATTTAGTTGTGTCAGCTTGTTTCACATGTAAAATGCAAATTTGCTTTCCATCATCACTGCTTCGGATTGGAAATTAAATCTTAGCATTCTTATGATAAACCCACGTTGACGGGGTGCAATAGCGGCGGAACACCTTCAATTAAGGGGGGGGGGGCACTGCCGACTTTTGGCCCTATTATTTCCATGCAACGCTCATAGGGCCAAAATCGCCAAAATCAAAGGGGGGCACGGTGTCCCGGTGCCCTCCTCGTTCCGCCGCCTATGACGGGATGGGGACGCTTTTATGGTTGTCGTTGGGAGCTCGGCACTAATGGGGTCAGTGGGGATGATGTTGAAGGTTTCGCAAATGTTTCATAAAAGAGATGCTATTTTTGCACAACCTATTAAACATTTTTTACGTTTGCTATGAAAATGTTAGGCCCAGTTCCTTCAAGATCAGGTCCACGACTCAACAGCTTACAACAGGAGCTAGCTAACATAACAATTAACCCACGCCGTGTTGGTGGCATGAATTTTCCATCGAGTGCTGGGGGGGGGGGCGTTTCACGTCCCTCCGTGGCCCCCTCCTGGGCCACGTAGCGACACGCAGTAAGCGGCAATCGAAAGAGCGTCAAGAATAAGGAGGAACACACTCGGTCATTTTAAGGTCAGTGCAAAGGTCAGGTCACCAGGGTTCATCAAAGGTCAAATTTTGTTGATTTCAGCGATTTCGAACACCCGACGGCTAACACGGGAACCAATAGAGCTACAGCGCTGCGGAAAAGCGCATTCGATAGCTCTTTTAACGCTCTTTCGCCTACATGTCCTCAAATTTGACCTCAGATCAACGGTTTAGCCCCCAGAGGGCACCGCTCTGATTGACCTCAAATTTGGCCTCAGATCAACGGTTTTTTCACCGCTCTAGCACGTCTCTGTCAAAAGTAAAAAAACTGCTGAGGACCTTTAATGTCCTAAAATGACCTCAGGGGCACACACAGGGGTCACAGGCGCAATTTTCCGATTCAGTGTGTCATGTTTACCTATGAACCGATGTTTGAGAGGGTGTAGAACGAAATTCGTCCAAAAGAGGCGCATTTCAATTTTCTCCCATTGACTTGGAGCAGTCGCAAAATTGACCTGACCTTAGGTCACAGACATAAAAAGTCCGAGGTATCCATTTTATGCATACTGTTACCCTAAGCAATTACTGAAAGTTTTAAAGTGATCGCTTAGTCGGTGTAGCTACAACGAGCTTTCGAATTTTTTTTTCTGAGGTAAGGTCACTTGACGTTACCTGGTGACCTTACCTTGAATGACGCTACGCGTCGCGTCGCCGTTTCTGAGATATTCGCGAAAAAACCTGACTGGGAAGGGCGTAAAAACGCCCCCCCCCCAAGCACGGCGCGGGTGGTCGACATAGCAACTCGGACTGAACAAATGCCTTTAACCCTCGCCCGCACATGGGGGGTTGCCCCCCCCCCCCCCCCCAGGTAGTCTTTCTGCTCTGCACTCAACATTTTTAGAGCTAGAAGCCTGATTTTTGGTATAGCTGCTACTCTTTCCTGCTCCTCTATCCTCTATCCTAAAACTGGGCATCATTGGATTCGTCTCTTCCCAAAGAATCTTTTTGGTCTTTACCACGAAGCTGTATCTCCAACAGGAACGAAATGGCGCGGGGGGTGCCCCCCCCCATGTGCGTTCTAGGATGGGAAAATGGCATGTGCGGGCGAGGGTTAACGTTTCAACGATTGAATAAGGTGAGAGGATTGAGGTAGGCTTGTATCGGATTTTCTTCTGCTTGTTGGTAGTTTAGGTTGAAGTTAATTTCGCGAGCTGTCCATAATCATTCAAGAGGGAAAATTCAGCTGCACATCGTTCGGGTCAAAGTAATACCAAACATTCTCAAATTTTGTAGTAAAGAGCCAGTAGTCTACGAATATATTCAAAAAACAATGAGAAAAAGAATAAGCGGACCGGTTTCGTCTATCAAAGACTTCTTCAGCGCTTTTTCAAAAACGTATAAGAAGAAAACTAGCACAGTGACAATCGTTTGAAATTAAATTGGATTCAGTAAGAACTAAGAACTTCATTGTCCGAAAACCGCTGACAGTTAATAGCTCAATGACACTTAGAGCCGTGCATAAGGAGGCGTGAAAACACTCTCCTCATCTCGTTCTATTACGAGACTAGGATCATGTCATGGCGTGAGAAAGGTGTTCTCAAAATAAATGACACTGTATGAGTGAATAAATATTCCGCGCCCCCCTGGGCTATTGGCGGACCCTCCCACCTGATCGGGTGGTGCAGCCGTTTCACCCTCCACCGATCTCGGAAAGTTACCGACCGATTTTAAACATTCAAAGAGCGATCGATAGCCCCACCAGGAAACTACTTTGTTACCAGGTTTCGTTGACCTAGGTGCAACCCATGACGTTACAAGTCAGGTCAAAGGTCGCATTTTTTCACCGATTTAGTCTAAGGAATGCGTTTACAGTTTAACACATCAAATAAAAGGCATGTTATCAAAAAACATCGATGGAGCGTTGGTTGTCTAATACATATGTTGCCTAAAGATGTCATTGATGTTAGGTCAGTTCACAGAGGTCAGGTCACTTAGGGTCACAATATGAACCCAACTATGCTAGGGTCGTGTGATGCATGTTTTATGGCAATTTTACATTTAAAATTCAATGGTGTGAGCTAGACGGCCATTGGGGCCAGTTAAGATTACATTTTGGTGGAGGTCAGGTCAAGGTCAGGTCAACGAAGGTCAAATTTCAAAGTTGATATTTTGCATAAAAGGGGTAGGGGAGATCCGTGTAAGACGCCCAGGGTCGGTAAGAGGCCCCATCGCTTTTTTTACCAAACCAATAATGTTATTTATTTTTTAATGTTCTTGTAAAGCAGAAGCCCTCTTGAAACAACAACTCACGAAACCTGAGGTATCAGGTGCGTCGCAGCGACTTTTGGTAAGCCTGTTTCTGTTTTTGCCCCTTTACTTGCTAGATATATGCATCTTTATCACCCTTATATATCTGGAAAAACAATGGCTATCAAATGCAATCTTTTCTCATCGAAATTGTCACATGTTAGCTTCAGAATAGACCATGTTCTGGTGCGCTGCAAATGTCTCATAAACCATAAATATTGTGGACGTTAAAACACTGTATTTTTTTAAGAGGCCCTCCCTTCGAGGATGATAAAACGCCCCCCGATAAAAAACGCCCCCGATGCTAAAACGCCTGCACCTGCGGCAGGCGTGGCATTCTTTTTTCAAGGAGTTTGTTTTTGTTTCTTTTTTCTGTTTCTTTTCTTAGAGGTTATAGGTACAATTTTCGTTGGTCATCATCGTTTGGTTGTGCTAGTTTTCGCATTGTTCGAGCGCTTTGGAAGTGTTATTGGTTTCGATAACACCGTATTTGCTTAGCTTTTCGAAATAAAAGGCCTTGCAGCTGTGTTCGCAAAGCGTCTTTTACAAGTCGACTTGACTTTTAAAACGCCCCATAGTGTCTTACCATACCCATAGTGTAAGAGGCCCTTTTGCAACTTTTCCCAAAATGTTAAAGTTTACGGTTTGTGTACCCCCTAGATTCATTTTGAATGCAAATATGTATGGGAAAATGATGCAAGCTCACAGCGCATGCACACGTTAGCGCTTAAATATTATCAGTTGTCTAAAAATAGTAACTGAGCTTAAGGGGGGGCCTCCTGCACCACTCTCCCCTATCTATTCGATGCAATTCATCACAGGAAATTCAATGGTCTTTGGCTTGCTTTGAGTGTTCTGTGACGGCTAAAAATTGAATTTGAAAATTTTACGTAATAAATTTTGAGTATTTTTTTTTGCCATAACTTTGCTAAAAATGAAGCTATCGAGTTTAAGTTTGGCATATCTAGAGCAGCTAGTTCTATAACATATATTTCAATTTTAATTTTGAAAGTTGTTGGTATTTTCGGGGTGTTATACATCTATAGTTTTGATGGTCAAAATCAATTTTTGTTTGGAAATAAGAGTTAGCAGTTTGTAGCGCTGTTCATTTTACATCTTTTTGATCTTGAATATTTTTCGTTATCTTCAAAACTAAGCGTGACAGCTCTTCCCGCTAAACCTTTTATTGGGTCGAAAATGACAGAACATGGCATCTCTCTGACGTCATTTGTGACTAACGTTTCATAAGAGCTCTGGAAAAATTTGGTCACAAGGTGTAAAAATGATGCCCGGAGGGGTCTTGAAAGTTTGGTGGCGACATTTGCTATACTTTAAGAGATATCGACTGAAAAGGAGAGAGGCGACCGATTCGCGCCGCCCTCCCCCATCAACGGGGCTTTCAATTGCTGCTCTCACAGAACTATTGGTTATATTGCAACGATAGTGGAATTGCAAGTGGCAATATAAGCTTCCTGCCAGCGCCGGACCAGAGTTTAAAGATGCAGGCTGAATTTTAACATTTAACTTTGGAATTTTTAAACCGTTGAGCTTTTTAGAAGCTGTATGAACTGTTCAGCTCCTTTTTTGGTCCATCACAGCGGGCTTGTATGTCATTTGCCAACCAAAATCGAATTAAAAACTTTTATTTGGTCTGGCTACCTCGCCAACCTTTTAACTGGATCGTTTAGTAGCTTTTGATTGGGCACTGCCCACGTTGTCTGTCTAGCCTTTCGTGTCATAGATAGACACTCTATGACACGAGAAGAGGCTGCTGACATCGTTTGTCGCGGTTGGATAATACCAATCCACGTCCCAGTGGCTGCTCGATCGCACTTTCCCTGGCCCAACTCTCCCACCAGGCTAGACTTTGCCCGGCACAGTCGTCGCCTCAGTGCCTCGGGCGGTGACCCGTTCAAAGGGGCTCTCAATTCGTATGGTGCCGTGGCTCTCAAACCAATACAGAACAGTGAAACGCAAAGGCTCACTTTCCATATAAGGCGAACGGCTGATTCTGGCGCCGGGGCTTCATTCATGCTAAGGCGCCCAATCACAGCGCCGCATTTCAGTTAGTGTCGGGCGCAAAAGCTATTATGCTCCGCCCCTCCATCACGTGACCCTGCCCTCACGTGGCCTCAGTCACGTGGTGTTTCCACTTCTTGGCGCATGGCGGCGCTAGTCTCGCAGGGGCGGTGGTAGCTTGCTCCCCCGCCGTCCGAGGGTGATGGGTAGCAACTGCTGGTGACTGTACACCTACATACTAAGTGACGACTGACGTATTGACGTCCCTGAGTGACGTTATTGATTGTCACTGACGCCATTGTATGATGTCTCACAGGCGGGTCATCCTGACACTGATGAACATCACACTGTTCGGCACCAGCGTGGTGCTGCTGCTGGTCTCTGCCGAGCTGATACAGCAGCTGGCTGCCGGCGCCCTGGACACGTGTATCTGGGTCCTGGTGCTCACCATGGTGCTGACCCCAGTCACGTGGCTGGGGTCCCCACAGCACCTCAGGTCAGTAACCAGCGGCCGGTGACAGTGAGAGGTGCGGCCAGTCAGAGCAGACTCAATGTTTTATAAATAAACGCGCCTGCGCAAGAACGACATATGATCGTTTTTGCAGGCGTTCCAAACTTAAACAAGCAAAGTGACCAACTCAACTGTCACTCTCAATTCATACAGGAATATAAACTATTCATATTACGTTAGCTTATTTCATTCTAAAAGAAAAAAAAAATAGACGCGTTAATCCAAGCGCATCCTCCGCCGTATAAAGCGACTGAAGGCACACTTTCCCTACGTAAAAGCGCCTGCGGGTAGGCTGTACCGCACTACATATAAACGCCTGCAGGTAGACTGCCCCGCAGTACAGCAAACGCCTGAAGGTAGACTGTACCGCAATACATATAGACGCCTGAAGGTAGACTGGCCCGCAGTACATATAAACGCCTGCCTGAAGGTAGGCCTCAGGCGATGTACTGGCCCGCAGTACATACATATAATCGCCTGAAGGTAGACTGTACCGTATTACAATAGCTTGATGGAGGGTCGTGCTGTAATTAGGTAAATGTCTAAAATCGGGGAACTAGTGCAGATGTTTTGTCGTCAGCAAAGACTTGAAATAAATAGTTTGACTGGATAAAATGCCGGATGGTAAACTTGTTTTCAGAAGTCAAAATGCAAGCCTCAAAGGCGATGGTAAACACTTCTAGCCAGCACCCCTGACGTATAGCGCCGCGGCTGTGTCGGCAGGGCGCCGGCCATGTTCGCGCTGGTGTCGGTGGTGGCTGGTGCCGTGCTGATGGTGGTGCAGATGGTGACATTCCCGCCGGAGGAGCGGCCGCACGTGCCGCTTTCGCCGCCCAGCCTGTCCACCTTCTGTCTCGGTCTGAGCACCATCATGTTCAGCTTTACGGGCGTGTCCACGTTCCCCACCATTCAACTGGATATGGCCGAGCGGGCCCGGTTCAGCCGCGCTGCCGTCGGAGGGTTCGCAGGTCAGTCTTCACCGCTCTCATCTGTCATGACTACAAGGCGGACGTCTTTAGGCTACAGCTCACAGTCGTATCTGGTTGAGTCCATAGGCCAATTTTTTTATGTGTCGGATCGCTTCATCGACTTCGAACTTTGTTGCCAGTTCAAATTCAACGACTGCTCCAAGCTGCCAGGTACGGACCTGTCTCTCAATGAATAAGACCGATTACGAACCAGAATAAGTATATAAAGTACCGATCGTCAACATCGTAATGTTCGCCTCGATCCTTGGTCGAGCGGTCCGTTCCAGCCGCTAATATCCCAGTCTTCCGTCAGGTCTCTGCATGGTGTACGTCCCGGTGGCCGCCACCGGCTACATGGTGTACGGAGACACGGTCAACATCAACCTGATCCAGAACTTTACACCCGGACCGCTGCTCATCGTCATCCAGGTACGATCGGAACTTCGGCTGGGACGGGATCGAACAACGAGACTATTTGTAAATGCAGTTCGAAGTTATGTTTTCTCTTACTATCCGTGAACCGTTACTATGCCTTTCGCAGCGGCAGGTTCACTGCATTTAGAACATATTGGCGAGCGTAATATATCTTCATGCCTCCGACATGTCTTATATTTCGTCTTATGTCTGATGACAGGTGCTGCTAACCGTCCATTTTCTAGCAGGTTCACTGCATTTAGAACATATTGGCGAGCGTAATGTATTTGCGTGCCTCCTATATGTCTTTGAGATTCTGATTTCGTCTTTTGTTTGATGACAGGTGCTGCTAACCGTCCATTTTCTGGGTGCCTTTGTCATGCTGATCAACCCGGTGTGTCAGAATTTGGAGGGAGCGCTGCACGTATCCGGTAGTAAGTATACGACCGACAGCCGACTCACTCGGTCCGACCTATCGCTATAAAACTGTTTCGCTATAAATCGCTGTAAAACTCTGTTAAAAAACTCTGTGTTATCGCTGTAAAACTCACCAAAACTGTAAACGGAACATATCCTTTCTGATCGTCCGACTCAACAGTCCTCAGTGCAGCATTACCGATGTCTTCTCACCAGCTCCGTACCATTAGCTCATCACCAACTCACCTATCCCAAGCTCACCTACTCAAAGACCTCTGCTCACCAGCTCAGTCTTACCAACTCACCGCCCTCCCCCCTCCCGGCAGCTAGCGGTCTCACTCGTCAGCGCGTCTTACTCCGTTCTGGCCTCATGCTGATGGCATTATTCATGGCCGAGACGGTGCCCAGCTTCGGCAAAATCATGCATCTGATAGGCGGCACGTTCACGCTCATGTTGACGTTCATCCTGCCGTCACTGCTGTACATTCGACTGCGTGGAGAGTACAGAGGAACCAGCAAACACGGATAGTAAGTTGGATTTGGGAGGCAGTGGCCTGGGTTCTCCTAGGGGGCGGGGCGGGATCTGGTCGCTGGCTGTGGTGTTTGATTACGGGTAGTTTCCGACAAACAAAGGATTGGGTGAATATGGTTACGAAAGTTGTTTTTGGCACAAATGTGACGATAGATACAAGCGTGACGTGGTATTGCAGTGCTTTGAGATAGATAAGCAGATCATCACTTTTAAAAATTGGAAAGTTCCGACCTATGCCATCAAACGGTTGCTAGCGTCGGATCTTCCCAGCTGTGCCACCAGCTGGCACATTGCATGTCTGACTGCTTTACGTCTCCCGCACGTCAAACGCACTTGACAGGATTCACCTGTGTGCCCCCCCCCCCCCCACCCGTACCTCCCCTGTGACCTGTAACCCTCTCTCCCCCACAGCAAGCGGTACCTGGTGAAGCGATTCTACCTCTCCTCACTCTGCCTACTCTGCGTGGCTCTCTCTAGCGTAGTCGTCTACTATTCGGTGGACGAGATTGTCGCCCCCGGAACCTTCCAGACCCCGTGCTACCTCCGATGGTGGTTGGGACCCGGCGCCGGTGACTTGGATGGGTTAAACAGCACCACCACCGTCACTGATGTCCTGAACGTCACAGTGCCCAGTGATATATGATGATGTTCAATATTAGTAGGAGGAGACGTCAATACTTTGGGGCCAGTGCTGGTCCTTTGCTGTGTAGTGTGCATGTGCATGTTGATTACAAAGCTACTCATTGCTAACGGGCATTTGGGCCCCACAATGCCCACTCTGCGTCTTCGCGTATGCATTGATAAGTTACTATGTAAACAATGCGTCTTCGTTCTGTTTATTATCTGATATTGCTGTCTGCTGTATGATAAGGTTCAGATCAGCGTTTGACCACTGAGTCCACAGCCAACCATTCCACTATGTAAGGGAGATAATGCACCTGTATTGTGCAAATATGATCTGCATTTAGAAACTTTTCTGTCAGTGTTTGAAAAGTCTTCTCGATATCTCACAACAGATAGCACGAACAGCCGATTACAAACGTGCGTAGCGCACTCTCGGGAATCTCTACTGCAGGCTGCCCAATCTGGTCGCGTGACCCAAAACTATGCGTTTAGCAGTGTGCGGTGCGTCTAAGTTTGAGGCTGAGTGTTGACAGTTGCAGAGGTCGGTGAGGGTGCCACCAGGCCCTCGGTAACTAGGGAGTTGGAAGGGTTATGGGCCGGGTCTGTGGGCGGCGGTACCCCGCAGGCTGACTCAGCCCGTAGGAGACAGGTGTTCGGGGGGGGGGGGGTAATTAGGAGAAGCCGCCACAGATGTTGTGGGGTCACACAACACATCCGCGGATAGCGAGGGGAGTGGGACTGGGGACACACGCATAAAGACACAGGTGGAACGGAGGACGGAAAGAATGCACGCTTACTTCTTATCCGAGTCACACAACTGCTAAGTCGTTAGAAAAAATGCAAGCATCATGGCCATGCTTCCAAACATTCGCAAAACGACAGGCGTCCAAAGAATGTCGCATTTAGCACACGGTTGCACAGGTTTAACTCGAACGCGCACCAAGTCCAACGTTGGCGCGTCCGGCTGGCGTGTGCCATGGAGTAGGCTGCACGCAAGACCGGTTTGGGCCATAACAGCATTCGTGTGTTCTCATTTTACGAGCACAAGTGATAATGCTTATTGTGCATGTCTATTCCCCATTACAGTACGTGCATACTCTTCATATTCGAAGAGTCTTTGGGCTTCTCGTGCGTTTCGTTTGCGCGTGGTTAAAGGGACCCTCCCACCTTAACATTAGATTTGAGTTGAGATAGCCAAAATGGGGTCCCTGGCTCACAATTACCGGTTTCGGCACTCACAACATCGAGAAATGCCTTAAATCGGAAATATTGAATTTCAAAATTGCAGCATTTTGATTCAGAGGGGCTAATGCTTAGGAATACCCCTCTGAATGTGTGACGTCAGCGCAAATATCTAACGATTTTTAAATGTTTGACTAAAACGTTTTGTAGCACGCGGTGGTATATGCTATTTGCGCGCAACATCTGCCGCAAACGCCGCACTTCTAAAATAAAGTCGCTAGAAACAGCGGAGATCCCAAAAAAAGTAAACAAAAGTAAAAGTCTAATATCTTGAAAACCGGTGAATATTTTTCGATGAAATTTGGTAGATATTGGTTTTCGCTCTTTCTGAACCGAGCGACATCACTTTCATGCCAATTCATTGACTTTTTTGAAGGTGGGAGGGTCCCTTTAATGCTGATGACTGAATCATGTCCGAATCTATTGTTTGTTGATAAATATACAATGTATGCTATCTGAGCAGCATTTCATGTAGTTCTCCATGGTTGATACATGTAAACAATGACTAAATTAGCATGGTTACGACCGTTTTCGTAAGGCATCCAATCGGCGGGACCGGTGTTCACAGATGGTTATCAGAGCCCGGGGGAGTGGTGGGCCTGCCTGGGATCTACGATATCGAATGTCAGACTGACGGTAGGCACAAAAAGCGACCACCGGCACAGCTGGGGAGCGGATAGGTGGAATCTGGGAGGGGACCGAAAGCGATCTGTGCACTTCCTTACGGTCCATAAGGTTAGCATTGCACGGCTTCCCGTCCACAGGATAGAATCAATGCTTCTTGAAAACCTAGGAAAAGCTACAGACGCAAGATTGTAAGACAAAAATCCATTTAAGAAAATTTCAGCACATCTTCATAAGTTATAAAAAACGACAAACAGTGAAAGCAGGACAAAGCAAACGCGTGGATAAAAAAGGGGGAACCGCTCACTGAATGCCATTGGTATTGACTATTTTCATGTAATCATTTCCTTGCAGCGATTATTTGGAACCTACCAGATTCTCAGACTCGTCAAACGTTCACGAAAAAGCGGAGTGATTTATTAGATATTTAAGGACACCCGACAGGAGGCTATTGACCCGGTGATACACTCTACCAGGGTCCATCCTCGCGCACTCGCTCTGCAGGTGCCGCACATTACAAATAAGGCGCACACGTCATAGATAACAATATCCGCAGTCCACACACGCCACTGCGAACATAACAAACATATTGATCCTGTGTAGGTGAATTAACCTGCTCACATCACACGGTAGTCGCCCGCTCTGACCAGCGTCCCTGGCGGTGCGGCGCATCACTTGTGTTTCACATTCTGTCCGACAGATGTCAATCCGTCGCCACTCACAAATGAGATGAGAACAGGATCCGTTGACGGTAGAACTCCATTAGCGTCCTGCTCAGGTTGACTCCGCTAGCCGTCACGGCCACGAAACTCAGCGCCAGAAGCGTCAGCGGGTACAGGAAGACGCGCGTGTTCTTCAGGAACGGCAGCGCTGTCGGGCGAGCGGGGGCGGCATTTAGTTGGAGGGACTGAGACGACGGCAGCTGTCTGGTGGGCTGGTTGGGCTACAACACCGTTCACCGTTCCGTGCTTCTATCCTCAGGATGCTGAAATCCTTCTCCTCCACGCCACAACCCCCTCCGGGCTGGACAGGCAACTTTATCCCCTGCGGGCTGCTCCCTTGGAGCGGCACCGCTGCTCCCGAGGGTCCGCACCCCGTAGCCGGGTGCAGTGAGTATCTTGGGGCTGGGTGGCCTGTTCTCTGGACGGGCTCAGCCCCGGTGACTCACTAGGGTGCCTGTCCAGACCAATGTCTCCCCCTATATCCTATCATCCTCCCGGCTCTGAAATGGTCTCATTGGACCGAAAGGGCCTCACCCCCCCCCCCAAAAAAAACAACACCGTTCAGTCACTTTCCATCTCCCCCACCTCCTCGGGATGGATGGGCACCTTTATTCTGACGTGAGTACTGAGTAGCTCCTCAGGAGCCAACCCATGACCCAGTGGGGCGACCGTTAGCGTGGCTAAATGGCCTGCGTTACCGGTGCGAATAGCTATGCGATGATTATGCAGCTAATCAAAGATAAATATGCCTCGGGTTAAATTAAGTACATGAGCATCTACCTTTGGTAACTGTACTCGTGTAAGGTGCACTCACCACTGTATCCCAAGAAGGTGATGTAGAAGTAGTACCCCAGCGCCACCGTCCAGAGCATGTTACCCAGTAGGTGGGACGCAAAGTTGTCACTGTGCAACACAACTGTGAAGACCAAGAAAATCAGGTGAACCATTTGACCTCTCACCTCAATCTCAACCACTCATCTTAGTCATCACTGCCCAGCATACCACTTCATATAAAAAACGGGCACCACCAGGCGCCAACACTACCTACGGAAAAGGTCAGTGTCAAACGCTTCTATAATCTTTCAAGCCCTCTCGCCTTTTAGCTCACCGTTGTAGAGCAGAATCTGCACTACATGCAGGATGACGAGGGCCGGGAAGAAGGCGTTCATGTGTACGTCGAACGAGAATCCCCATTCGACGTCCTGTCCGGGCTCCGTCGGGTGCCGCAGATACCGGTTACTCACGAACCTGGAACGACAATCACACATAGGGTGAGAATCGCATACAGGTGTGCCTGACTCACAGGTGCAGCTAGTGCAGCACAGTTGCATTGCATAGCAATATCGCTGGCCGCTGCGACGCTGTCGTTAGCAAAAATTAACAGCCTACTAAGTGTATAACTTGACTATTGAGGCAAGCCGTCCAAAATGAAGCTTCACGACACTCAATGTATTGTTCCGTTTTCCGAAGTAATAACCCCCCCCCCCGGCTTATCAATCACCCAAGATATCATTATCGCGTATTATTTCTTAGGTTTATGGCTTGCAGATCACATTGTATCATGTAAGCATCTCCGATTCCTTGTCTTTAGCAGCATCGGTCTTATCAAACAGCGGCACAGGCCACAGAATCGTGGTCCTATGCCTACCGTTAATTGTCCACCGTTCCGACCATCAGCTATCGTTCCGAGCGAACTCACCAGAGGCCTGTAGCCACCAGCACGCCCATGAGCAGCATGTCCACGGCGACGACATACAGCAGGAACAGGATGAACGACGAAAACCCGAGCCCCATCACCAGCGCGAAACACACCGACGACACTGCCGAGTAAGGCGGAAAGGGGCCAGGTGGCCGTCAGAAAACGATGATTGCTGTTACAGTGAGCTGTTGTAAGATCAAACTGTGATTTAATCATGATGATTAGTTAGAAAAAAACAGCTAGCACAATACCAGCTGTGATTGTCTGCCCCAGTTCTATTCAGCAAAATCTTCTGGCAGTGGGTCTCTTGAGGAGTGACCACGCCGCGACGTCGAAGTGTATCTATCTCACGCCATCAAACTGCCCATCTTCTCAGATGTCCAAGGTGACGAGCACAAACTCCCATACATTTCAAAACAGAGCGACCTTATCTATCATAGACTGCCATGACACCTTGATGCCTTGACATTGTTTAACCACAGCTATATGGCAGGTAGAGTTGGTACTCACCAAATATCCAGCCAGTCACTAGCACAAGGAAGGCTGGGTCGTCCCTCGCGAACTGAGCCTTTGTCTCTGTACAAACAGACAGCAAGGTCAGCCAAACATGGGCCCACAGTTAAAGGAGATATAAAAGGTAGCTCTGACTTCTGAGTAAGATAAAGATACAAAGGTACTTTACTGGGTAACTTGACAAGAGGAATATTCCAACAAACATATAATCTCACCAAAGAATGCAAATGCAATAGGCTCCAAAAGAACAAGCAAGGGAAGCAGGCATGTGGTGGAATGGAAATTAAGGTTCTAGAACTCACGTTTTCTGTACTGGAAGTCTCTGTAGACCTTTTGTGGTGCTACGAAGAGGTACAGCATCTGCCATATGGCAAACTCAAAGTCCATCTGGCTGAACTTGAATATTCGCCTCAGGTACTTGTATCTCTTTGTGGCTGCAGATAGACAGCTGGCCCTGAAAGGCAAAATATAGTCACTGGTCACTAGTCAGATACAGGAACATTGTAGGAATAGGAACCTTAGCACACAGCCAGTAATGCAAACACTTTCAATTGCTCAACATTCCAACATTCCACAGTGATAACACTCAACACTGGGCCCTTGAATGAAAATAGCAAGCCAACATGGTTTGTAGTTCAGTTACCTTGCTATATATGGTCATTAGACTGATCTTACCTGTGTGAGACTGGCGGTGGCAGAGGTGACACACTTGAGTCAAACTGGTATGGTGACTGTGTCCTAGATGGTGGTGGAGATGTGTGATACTTCATAGTTGATCACCAGTGTGTATTTCTGGAAAAGATAACATGGACATAAGGCACTAGGTATTTATTAGCCATTAGGTAGCAGCAAGTTCCATAGCGAATTATCCCATTGTTAGGGTACCAGCGCAGCCAGTGGGCACCATTTCTAAAAAATTGTTCCTACCATACTCCTTCCTAACTTCCCACAAATTTGACCTTTGTAACTTACTCACTCATCTTGTCCTTGATCAATAATCTGTGTTGAAAGGGCTGAAGGCTCTGAGCTTCTGAAGTCTGATATCAATACTGATATTGGGCCGTGCTATTATCAATACCAGATAATAAAAACTAAATATGTATCTATTCATTTTTCTTTTATTGCCATTGTATGTATTTATGTCATCTAGAACTGTGCTTATATCTATATTCGCCTCGTGACTCAGAAGTGGCTGACATCTGGTGGCCGTTTCCTGAACTACTATAGGTAGGATCCGGCGGCCGCTCCGCAGGCAGACCGGCCGGTCTAATCTCACGAGACCTCGGATTTCGAATACTTTTTCTTTCAAAATTGGAATGCAATGCACATAATTCGACGACAAATTCCTCATAGATCACGAATAATGATTCTCATAGCCCGTCATACATCCTTTCACAGTCAAAAGTGCCCTGAACAAAGCGTGCCGTGGCCGTGGCACTTCGTAAGCAGTATTGGTGATCACAACCAATGTTAGGGCGGTAAGGGCGGCCGATAAGGATATTGCAATCCGCCGAAAGAGCAAGGTTCCGGGCACATTGTCTGAACCCTCGCCGTAACGGTTTTCTACGTAGGTAGGTACCGCCCGATGCTTTGGAACCGCCCTGAGATCTTAAGAGCATTCATATGCCGGCATAAGACATTCACCTTTTATAGCCCGTCACAGGCCGACGTGGGGCCCTCAGAAATAGGCATGGAGTTCTCGGAAACCTGCATAAGGTCCTCATTGACTACCGTCGGAACTTAAGGATCTGCGATGGGCCCCAAAACGCCACCGTGGAGCCCTCAAAGACCTGTAGATTGTAGCCTTCAGAAACCAGCGTGGACGCTCGGGTGCCGATGCAGAATGATCAGGGATTGGTGCGGGCCAACGGTGAGTTCAGTGCGGGTTCGCTCAACCTTTCAAATGACCTGTTGACCAGTGGGATGGAATGGAACAGACTTACAAAACCAGCTGCTCGAACGGCGCCCCGGAAGGCGAAGTGACATGTTCATTTCACATTGCTTTTTGCTAATGATATCTGCATGCCAGGGCCAAAAGGCAGTAGCTACTAGCCTGAGCACTGAGCAGGGAATGAGGGATGTATTCGGTTCAGAAGGGGCTGATTCTGCTCCCAATGATAGGGGGTTGGATATGTTATCTGTGTAATTCAAACTAAGTTCTGAGTTATCACTTCAGATTCATAAGGCTTCAGAGGGTGGAGCCTTATGGCCACTGACACCAAAAATTTGTGACTTTTACATTCTTCCATTCAGTTATCAGTTACATATGTGAAAGATAAATGGCCCTGGCAATGAAAATAACTTACCCCAGGCTTGTTGAAGGGAAGGTATGAATGAACACCCGAGGACATCAGATTGTTTCCCTCTCCCAGGTAGTATTCTCACACCATTGAGCATATGAATTATGATGTTGATATAGTTCAGGAAACAAAAGAGATATATGTGCAAATTCAGGCCAGCTGTGAACGTATCATTGATTACAATGCCTCTAATGCCACCAATACTTCACCAACTTCTAAAGCACTGAGCAGAGGTTGTAACAAATAAAGCAGACCATTTGTCGATTCAATGCTGAGCAAGGGGGGTGACTGAGGTGAGGTGCAATGAGCTAAATATGTTCTGTGTTCTGCTGGACACATGTGCAGAACACATGTAGCATACTGTGCTGCACCACACATGCCAGCAACAGACTTAATTGTAGGTCTAATCTCTTCAGCTACCTCCTTGAAACGAGCAGCCATCTCAGCAGCAAGTGGGTTTTGAGGGTTGGCAGCAAGACTCCTCAGTTCCTTCCTTCCAGGGCTGCAACCTGCTGCTGGAAGCTGCCTCAGAAACCCTAGCATAGTGGAACAGCTGCTGTTAGCAGTGGAATCGGGTTGGCAGCCATCACTTCTGACTTCCGATTTCGGTCAAATGCCACTAGTTGTAGTCTGAGTCCTGTCTTTTGTACTTGTGTGGTCATGTCATTGTCATACCATGCTATTGCTACAACATGAAAGATTGCATATGCACCTTATTGCCTGAAATATATCCATTCTAATAATGGAAATAAGATCATTTAACGAATTGCCATGCATCTTTGTAAGCTGCTTCAGACCGAGACTAAAAGTCAAAGGTCATGGCGATTTCTGCAGCCAAATGCTGTATGATATTCACTAGCGATAGCAGGGTAATTTACTCCAAAGGTCAAAAACCCAAAACGTTACATAAAAGGAATCAAAATCGATAATAATCAGCTTCCCCCAACCCCAATTTCCACTGAAGCTGATACAAAAATACATGTTTACCGGTATTCGTAACTCGTGCGCCACATTCGCTATCCTATCTATACGGTTCTACGGTGCTGCCACCTAGCGAGGTGTCACGAGGCGAATAATGAATGGCTACCTTACACCGCCAACTGGCCAGCCAGCTGATTGTATCCAATCCCAATCAAGGGCGCACACAAGGGGGGGGGGCACACGGGCCCGTGCCCCCCCCATTCGAGTTGGGGGGCCCAACTCGAAGGAAGGGGCCCATTTGAGGCGGCCGAAGGCCGCCTCAAATGGGCCTCTAACTAATCCTTAGACCACCGAAGACCGTGTACAACGGGCCCTCAAATGGCCTTAAAGGGCCCTAAGATGGTCTCAAAAGGCCCTCAGATGGCCTCGAAGGGCCCTCAGTTAGCGTCATAGGGCCCTCATCTGGTGTCAAAGGGCCCTTAGATGGTGTCAAAGGGCCCTCAGATGGCCTTAAGGAGCCCTCAGATGACCTCAAAGGACTCTCAGATGGCCTTAAAGGGCCCTCAGATAGCCTCAAAGGGCCCTCAGCTAACGTCAAACGGACGTCAGAAGGCCTTAAAGGGTGTCAAAGGTCCCTGAGCTGGCGTCAGAGGGCCATGCCCTTGCGTCAAATGGCTCTCTGAAGGCCCTAAAGGGTCCTTAGCTGGTGACAGAGGGCCCCCAGCTGGTGCCAGATGGCCCCCAGCTGGCGCCAAATGGCCATCAGAAGGCCTCAAACTGTCCTCAGTTGGCGTCAAGCGGCCCTCAAAAAGCCTCAAGGGGCCCTTAGAAGACCTCAAGGGGCCAGAAGGCCTTAAAGAGCGTCAAAGGGCCTTGAGCTAGCGTCAGAGGGCCCCCCAGCTAATGTCAGAGGGCCCTGAGCTAGCGTCAAACTTAAAGTGCCCTTAGCTGGTGTCAGAGGGCCCCAGTTGGTGTCAGAGGGTTATCCATCGGCGTCTAATGGCCATCAGAAGGCCCAAAAACGATCCTCAGCTGGCGTCCAACGGTCCTCAGCTGACGTCAAGAGACCCTCAAAAGGCCTCAAAGGCCCCTCGACTGCTCAAAGGGCCCTTAGAAGGCCTCAATGGGAACTCAAGAGACGTTAAACGGCCCTCAAAAGGCTTGAAAGGGCCCTCTGCTGATGGCAAAGGGCTCGCACCTGAGTCAATAAGAGCCTTGTCAAAAAACGGACCTGAGAAACCTTGCCGGCCCTGGTTATCTGCGGGACTCCTACACTTCCCTGAGGTGGCCCCCGTTTACTGAGGGGCCCTGGTTATTGATGGGGTCCCTGGTTACTTAAGGGGCGCCTGGTTACCAGAGGGGCCCATGGTCACCTGGTGGGCCCCTGATCAATTGAAAACCCCTGGTCATCTGAAACGCCCCTGATTACCTAAAGGGTCCCATCACTTGGATTCAGTGACATAGCAAGGGAGCGAGGGGGTACGTGCCCGTTCTCGGGTTTAGAGTTCCTTCGAAACCGAGGGGCCCTGCGGCGCCAGTTGGTAGCAGAGGGTTCGCGCTGGCCGCACTTCAACTCGGAAGGACACCACAGGGCTTGTGGGGGACGTTATTGGCTCCTATGTAGCCACAATTATCTTCATAAAGGCCCAATGCCGGTTTCTGAGAGACCTCGCCGGCCGCTCAGGGCCCTAAGTAGTAACGGCCAACGAGGGATTGGCTGCTATGGCTCCACATCCGTCTGTGATAGACACACGGTCCACACCAGTGTTTCTAAAGGCACCCACAACGGCAACTGCGAGGCCCCTCGCCCCACCTTCAAGGGACCCCCACCAGCGCATCTTAAGGGCCTACATCAGCGGCTCTGAGAGTCCCCACGCCGACGCCTCTGAGGGCCACGTACCAGTGACTCTGAGGGCCTCTTAGCAGCCTCCGAGTGTCCTTGCCAGCCTATGACGGGCCACTTTCCACTTGCAGGCCATTTTGCAGGGCCACACACATGCCAATGATGGCCCCACCAGTGTCTCTAAGCCCTAAGACCCCGCAACGGCGCCTGTGAGGACCCAACACCAGCGCATCTGACGGCCTTTCACTGGCACCTCTGAACGCGCCACACGCCGTTGACTCTGAGGAGCTAGCTCGCTTCGCTCGCTCGTAAAATACCATGTAAATTAGGCATTAGTGTACATTAGGCACACTCCTCGGGCATAAATGATACTTTTGCTTGCCAATTTCCCACATTTTCTCATGCAAAGACCGTTTTAAAGAGACCCGTCTGCCAGTGAGACTGGACCCACCGTGCCTTCCTCCTCCCATCGAAAGGTCCTGGGTACATCTTTGCCTGAGCTGACCCCGGGCGCCCGGGTGACTCGCGGGCCCGGGGTCAGGTGACCAGCAGGTGACCCCCTCTTGGGCGAAATTCTGGGTACGTGTCCGACATGCATCGTACATAGTCCTGTTGATTTGATTCATTGGTTAAGCATTAAATATAAGTTATAAGCTGGATCTCTAGTCTGTGATCCCGCATTGTATCAGATATGATGACATTTCATGTCGATGTGCCTAAAAAATATGCGAATATACGTGAAAAAGGAGTGCTGCTCCCGCTCCTACACATCCGGGCCAAACAGTGACCGGCCCCTGCTTCCAGCCACCCGGGGCCGGTCGGCCGGCCGGCAGTCAGTCGCTGCCCGGGACTGATTTCTGAGGGACCTGCAAAAATGTTTATTAATGAAACGTTTTACGTAATAAATTAGATGATTAGGTATAGCTTCAAACCAACCGAAATATAGCCCCGTGGGCCGTATTTTTTTTGGGGGGGCCCTTCGGCATGGGGGGCCCAGTTCGAAGGTCGTGCCCCCCCCATTCAAAAATCCTGTGTGCGCGCCTGATCCCAATACAGTTGCCCCTGATGTTCATTAAAAACAAAAATACATGACATTCCAACAAAGCAGAAAACATGAAATTATCATTACTGCGTGGTAGGTATTCTTAATTTCTTTATTCGACAAAACCAACAATAACTCAAAGGCTATGCTATCAGTCGGTCAGAACTCATGGCAAGTAGATGCGCCATGCTCCACTTCTTCGATTAGGTCGAAATTAGGTCGAAATCACTAAACAAAGTATACGCCTTGTGTGGCAACAAAATGCAAAAGTTTATTTTGGGGCAAAAATAAAATTTTGGGTTTTGTTGCCGAACTAGATGGAAAATGAATATGGTGATGATGCCAACCTAAGGTGTGGAGCCTCACGCGTCTTGTTGTTACGATTTCCGAATGACCGATAGCATAGTATTCGCATTATTCTCATTTTTGTCGAAAAAAGAATACCTACCACACAGTCCCGTCTGCCAGTGAGCAGTAATCGCCACGCACTTTTAGAATGTGGATCGCTCATGATTGTTCAATACAATACAATACAGTTTGTGGCGGTACACATGGAGGTCCCCGCTTCAAAATTAGTTAATCCCTAAATATAGACATCATTCTATAGAGAAACAGTTTGCAGAGGGTTGTACATTCCTACCCATGTAAATACCTAACCTAACTTAACCTAACTATAGTTTATAAACAACAAATTGATTGAATCAAATTGGATAACCCGTCTCAGTAGTGAGTTGGAGTAGGTACCTCTTCGGAAGATTAACCATTGACAAAAAAGTGCGAAGCTTAACTAATTTCAGAATTGAAAACTGTACTTATTCGCATATATTGTATTTGTACAAATAAAACGATGGAAAAGTAAGATAAATGTGTAAATGCAGGGGCACACACCGCCGCTCACAGTAAAGTAAGCAAAACAAACATTGAGACAAATCTGGTGCATCCGCGTCATCGAGCACAAAAACACAACCACTAAAACAAAATTAACGACATCTATTCCTTCGCACACAAACACACAAAGAAAAATAATTTGCAGTTTACGCAACCGGAAAGTAGATACATTATCCCCAATTAAAAATATATTGGCAGTGGTAGCCAGAAATTTCTTTCCAAACACTGACTTCAATGAAGACTCGCTTCACTCGTAGTTTCTGCTCACCCGTAGTTTTAGGGCCTCGGCTCACTTGGGCTCACTCATGTTGTAGGTAATTACCTTGCCCCATTCTCCGTTGGTGATAACTCATAACCACAGTACATTTCTTACAACTGGCATCAATCAGCCAAGTATGTTGGGTGAATATGAAATTCATAGCTGAAAGATTCTCACATTCTACGTTCATAGCTGACAAAAATAATACAGCAGCATTAGTCTTGCTTTACGCCATAATGCTGCCCAGTCCACAACCCAACTTACTGCGCGCAGCCCCCCCCCCCCCCCGACATAAACACCACAAAGAAATCAATCTATATTTGATGCATAAATGATGATGTAATGGATGTTCGTACCACTTCAGGTCCCACAATTTGACCACGATGGTCCGCAATGTTTGACTGCACGGCTATGTACAATTATGTGCGACTTTTCGGACACCGATCTCCGTCACACTGGGGAGACATCCCACTGCTCGGTCGAGACAAAACGGAAACAAAAGGCCTTCGCCACACGCACGGGACGACAGCGTCACCGAATAGGGGACAAGAGGGCATTAGATGGAGGGGATGGGCGGCGGGGAGAGACACAAAAAAAAACTCAGATAAGGCCAGGCAATGGCTAGGGACAGTCGATCCTCGCTCACTCCCTGGCACGCCGAGCAGCCAGTGGTTTCTGGAGACAGTAAGAGGCAGCATCTGTCTCACACTACTTCGGAAGCTTCTCCCACGCTCTCGGCTACATACACGTACCGAGGAGCACTTAGGTCATCCCGCGACACGCCGGGTAGCTCTGTACAGAGATCGCTCACAATGCATTCTCCACACTGGCAACCCTCCTCAATGACCCCTTCATCGTCCCCTCACGTCGCCAGATCACCCCCGATGGCCGTCAGCACCGCTCCTCGAACTTCAGCTGCGCTACGGTGCTGGCAGCGGTGGTGATGGGTCGCGCCTCCCCACCACCCCCTGACGAGCTCGTCTTGCCTGTCGGGTTCGAGCCAAATCGGCCGCCATCGCCGCGCGCTCGGTTCAGCGCGTGTTTGTGTCTCGACTCGTGCAGATACTTGCGCCGCTCTTTGGGCACGCGTCCGTCCGTTTCGAGTCTGGCGCGCGCCTGTCGCCGCTTCAGGATGCGGTGGTACTGTTTGGCGTTCACGTAGAGCGGCTCCTCCTCCAGTAGCTCCGGCTGCGGCAGCGGGATGCGCTGCAGCTGCGAGACGCCGCCGCTGCCGCCGCCCGGCATCAGCATGATGATCTGTCCGTTGTTGACGCCCAGGGTCTGATAGGGACACAGCAGAGGGGTGTTAGCACGAGGGGAGAAAACGGGATCGTGTTCGGTCAGACGCATGGGAGCACTCGATATCATAGGTAAACACTCGTACTCGAACTTGCAATCGACTTTATCGAGTGTTCTTTGTAAGTCAACTACTATAATGTAAATAAATAAATAAATGTAAATAAATAAATGTTGGCGTATGTCCGATGTTCACGTATATTTATAGATCAACTGTTGCAAAAGTTAATTATTATAATTTAAGCGACATTCTCCTTGAAAATTCCGAAAAATAAATAAAAAAGCCGAGAACGCACGGGGAATCATATTAAAATGCCGTTTTACATGTGCATTCGGGCACAGCTCATCATCGGATGTAAATTGCCAAATGGAATACATCACATTAGTGATGTAATCCATGTGATGTAATCCATTTGGCAATATACATCCGATGATGGGCTGTGCCCGAATGCACATGAAAAACGGCATTTTATTTATTTTTCGGAACTTTCAAGGAGAAGGTCGCTTAAATTATAATAATTATTCATTCATGCTCCTTGCACAGGCACTACGTGATATGATGCAAAAGTTGTTTGATTCGTATTTGTAGCGTGTATAAACGGGTGTTTCAAAGCGAAGATAATCTTAAGTTAAGTAAAAAGGTTACACTACCATTTTTGGACTTATATTGCTCGTCATTTTATAACAAGTAGTTCGAATCGAACATTGTACAAAACCCGATTTTCAATCTGTGGAGAAAATAGATGGCAGTCCCTGAATAGTGAATATTTCCATATGCACATGCAAATCCAGATATTGCCCGATTCTTGGAATGTATTCGCCGGGAAATAGAGATTAACGTATGTAGATGAAGAAGTGTGTGATTTTCAACTGATTGAAGCAACAGAACGAGTAAACAGATGTGAAAAAGCACAACAATTCGACAGAGACTCTATAAAAAGCTAGAGACGTTAATGACTTTTCACAGAATCAAAGCACCAACGATATTCGTCAATCCTCATCAGTTATTTAGCGATCGACGATAAGCTGATACGATTTTGGATTTAGGATGAAAGGCCATTGCTGCATTTAACTTGCTAGGAAAGAAAATGATCAGTAAATGAAGTAAAAGAAAGAAAGAGGCAAGTGAATGAAAGCAGAAAACGCGATGTCGCAGAAAGAGCGTGTCTTGCCGATACGTGTAATGTGTGCTGTGTGCTGCATTCTGTGTGCCCTCTCCCACACGTCATCCAGCACGGAGCGGGAACCGCCGCTCTCGTGCTGATACGAACCGTATACATCAGACGTTAGACGGATAGACCGACAGCCAGACGGCCAGACGGAAGACACGGCGCAATGAGGCGCCGCAGGCGGGCGACAGACAAACAACACGTTCAAAACATCGGCGACACAAGCACAGGCGAACAGCGGCGCAGCAAACGACATCAAATGGCACAAAAATACATGTCGAAACATGACGTAGAAATTTCATAATTTCACAACGTTTCAGGTAACCAGCGACTCTGAGCAATGAGTATGACTACACAATACTCTGTGATCAGCAGAAAACCTCAGGCGTTACCTGTTCCCCAATTGTCAATGGGGAGGTAGCTCACGAGTCACGAATTCAAATTGTCCCCGCTACTCGGACGGGAGCTAGGTACGTTGGACCGCAGAGGGACGGCCGGCCGAGTGTAGCCACTGACCTGCGGTGTGGCGGCGGCGGCGGGCGTCGCGGCTGATACCTGCGCACCGCCGTCCATCTGTACCGGCTGAAACAGCACCGTCTGGCCGTCCTGGGTCTGCACGATCTGTGGCGACTGCTGGAGGACCATCTGCTGTGCACCGCCCGCCGCCTGACCAGGGGAGGAGTGGTGAACAACCGGGTGGCAAACAGACGTAATTATCGTCACACTCTTAAGCGTTCAAATCTTTACCATTTTATTCAGGATGATAATTATTGGAGCCCTCTGTACACATAACATCGATGATATTTCCAACATTCCAAACCATTCCACTTTTTCTGATAATTGCTATTTAAAACCACCACTACCTACCACGTCTACGACTGCCAATTTATCGAAACTCTGACATGGCTACCTGCTTCTCTGCTCCCTGTTGGGATCAAATACTCAAATAAAATACATTTACCACTGATAAACAACACTTGCTTTGTTTATCCACTTCACACAAGCTAGGAGTCATGCAAAACAGGTGTAAAAGGGACAGCTGCACTGACCTGTTGCAGGTTCTGGATGGGGATGATTTGAACGTGGTTTCCGCCAGAGCCAGCCAGCTGCAGCGTCTGTCCTGCACCACCAAGGCCCTGCAGGATCACCTGCTGGCCATTGACTGTCTGAATCACCTGCTGACCCTGAAGAAGAAGAAGAAAACACTTAATAGCAATGCAAAGGCTTAGGTGAATAGCATTTAGCTCCTCTAGACTCTGAGGAAACAAATATCACATCAGCACTGTATAATTATTTATGAATTACCATCAACACCTGGTGCTTGCAATAAGATCAAATACAAATGTAGTCTCTATACATTCACTTACAATAGCTAAAATATGATAAACTTGTTTGTTGTTTATTGGGGCTTAAGAGTTAAGGGCACACCAAAATATGATAAAGACTTAAATACACTAAAGTAAGTACTTAACCCTCGCGGGCCCGGGGGGGGGGGGGCGTTTTTCGCCCCCCCTGGCGAATATTTGCGATAACTCCCGAACGCTTAGGGATGGGAAGACGAAACTTTCAGTACCTTTTCTCCCATCAATTTGACATCTTCTGAAGTAAAAAAATTTGGACCTAGCCCCCTTGATGACGTCACAAGGTCCATTTTTCTAGACCCCTGCACGGCAAACTTCGGCGTCACACACGCAAACTTCAAATAGCTGCTAAAAATAGAGTTTTAGAGATAAAGACAAATTACGAGAACGGCTGTGTAGCGTTTGACCTAGAGAAAAATAGAAAAATAGTTTTGGTGACCTGAGGTCAGAGGTCAGGTCATCGACCCCGTAATGTGGTTTTAGTTTTTCGCAAATAACTTCGACAAAAATGGTCCTAGAGCTACGGCAGTGGTACCATCGCATTCGCCTTGTCAAGCCGCGTCGAATGATATATATTTTGATCGGAAAAGGTCAAGTTTCATGTTGACCTCATGTGACCTCGAATGACCTCTGGTTGACCTTGACACATGAATGGTTGTTTATGATGGATTTGTACCCGCTGATCACGAATCTGGCATCTATTTTCCTCTAAGCCTTCATTTAGAGCTTCCGGATGGCAAAATTGTCTTATTTATTATTACTAACTTGAATCAGTGAAATAGCCTCTAGCAGGGATACTCTTCTGTGACCTTGACCTTTGAGCAGCCTTGTATCGTAAGATGAACCACAAATAGGGAACTGATAAGCCTCAAAACATTTCAAAATATCTTGGGAGTTAGCACGCAAGATGTGCGAAAAAGTGCCAAGTTTGAGGTCAATTTTGAGCGTGACCTTGACCTTGACCTTTGATTTGGAGCACATTTTCAGAATCCTCAGATTCTCTTCTTTCGTTTGACACCCAATTTTGCCGGTTTGATGCAGCCTGCCGTCCTCTAGAAGGCTTACTTTGAGATCACTACACATGTGCCGGTTTTGGCCTTTGACCTTGACCTCTGACCTTGAAAATTGACCTGAGGTCAAAAATTTTAGGTGCATTAGAATCGTCTCGCAAGGACCTTTCGTTTGGTATCGCTTTTGTTTCCGTAGCTCCCTTATTTACGGAGTTAGACAGGGGGGGCGAAAAACGCCCCCCCCCCGGCTGCGGTGGTTGGGATTACCCCCCGGGCCCGGCCGGGTTAAATATGTCACAGCAACCTAGAGCTAGCAATCACCCCAGCCAGAAAATAGCACGGAAGAGATAGGTACAGATCAGGATTTAATGGTTACACTCACATTTTGTCCAGCAATCTGCATCACAACTTGTTGCTGGTCAGTACCTCCAGTTGTTCCCTGGCTCTCCATCCTGGCTGAAAACATAGGTAGGTAACAATTTCTCTCTTGAAAATGACAAGGACTGTGACTGTGAGAAAGAGGGCAAGTTCACAAAAGTTCAAAAGAGTACCAGTAAAATACAAAACCTAGCAACCTTGTCAAAAAACCTAGGTTGCACGAATGTCAAAATGCCCACACTGCACCTTAAGTTAGCTAGTTTGATATCAGTAAAGCTGGCGTCACCATCACTGATCAGTATATATTTTATAGAGGGCGAGAAACTGCAAGGTCGAAGGTGGGCTGCAAACTTGTGGGTTGTAGACTGCAGTTGTAACTTGTAGGTTGGGAGGCTGTAGGCTGGTAGTAGGTTGTAGGTTGTAGGTTTAGGTTAGGTTAGGTAAGATATGCCAATGGTGACGCCAGCTTCACCAATTCCACTAATTTCCCCCCCCCCCCAAGTGGCCAGTTTATTGCAGAGTTGGGGTACTGCCATGTCTGAAATCAAATGACGACACACCCGAAGAGAAACAGAAATAACACAATTAAACAAAACTGAACCATTTTTCTTCTAGAAACCGACAAGGGATACAAAACAAAAACAAAAATGAAAATGATAAAAAATGACGGGATTGTACTTTGATAGAATAAAGGCACATAGCGTATCAAGTTCAAAGAAACAGAAGACACTTACTCCGCCCAACTATATTGAAAAGGTGATATCAATTCAATTAATATCTTTTTTTAATTATACCTATCACCAACGACCCAGAAATGAACCTTGCACACAAATAATTGTTATATATTGAATATACACTTTTGATATACACTCTTCAACGCATCAAGCATCAACATAGATCTCATGCGTTATTTCAATGATTTGATGACGTATAATACTATGGAATATTCAGTTTAGCCATTTAAATTGATTTTTGATTGCAAAAATTCGAACAAAATATAATTTTATGGAAAATGTAATATAAAAATTTGTTAAATAACCTTCTTTAAATAAGGTTACTTTGATTCAATATATCTTACGCCATTTTATGCAAACAAAATAAGAATTAAAACCAAAGTTCATCTGATTCAAAAAGCAAAACCTTAACAGATTGGCGCAGCTGTTACAAACAAGAAGGGGAAGTGGCACGTAAATTATTTCAGCAGCGACCGGCAAATCACCGTGGGCAAATCTTGGGCAAATCAAATCCAGTGTGTCGCTGCCGCTCGAGAGAAGACTGGGCCTAAAATACTTTGGATATTTTACCCTTGATTTTACCGTGGTATTCGTTGTCGCTGGTTCAAGGTTTTGTCTCTTGTGTGTAAAGTAAGTATGGGCCCATCTAGTCAAAATGAAGGATTTTCCTCATGTTTGGCTTGCGTTTATTGAGTCTACGGATTTGTTACATAATACATATTTGCATTGAGTTTGGCATTGCTTGGGCATTGCCGTATTGCCATTGGTCAAGGCATTTCTTGCACGAGGACTGAATAAGTGTGCATTGCAAGTGTGCTTTATATACTTTTTGGTTGCATTTTTGCAACATTTCTGTCAAATTAAACAGCTGACATGCTGATCATTCATTGCCCATTGGTGTATTTTTGCATTTGCGTCACTGAGTATGCATTATTCGGAATACCCATTATTCTTGTTACATTACCTGACATTCACTGACATTTTTCATTCCCACAGGCTTAGATTTCATGATGCCACTTAGCTAGTATTCTTATATTATGATCTAGTTGGTTGTTTTGCTTCTTAATTGTGCATTATTGCAAGAATGAGGCTCTTGAAAAATATTTTCTTCTTCCGTGGCTTTGAGTATGTATCAAAACAGAAATTAAAGGTAAGCTAATTTTGTCAAGTTCTCCTTCATGTAGTGAACCTAAAAAAGCATGGGGATCTGAAATGGGAGTATTGCAATGTCAGAGATAAATGAAATGAAAAACTATTAGCCCCTTATTTGAAATTTAGTTGAATTGCTATCTTAAACCCTGGTGGCTGGCACTGGCAAATAATTCCTCCAATGCTAAATGATCATATACATTTGACATTCAGATTCAGATTATAAACCAAGTGATCATTAGATTTTGTGAGCATGACATGTGACAATGAACTCAACCCTACATATTTCTCAAGAATAACACTTTGTTCCAGGAAAAACTAAAATCTATGGTGAAGCTGACTGCTGGAGGCACAGTAGCTTTCTACGGTATAGGTCTATGGAGCAACAACGCCAAGTTTTACGAGTCGATGGTTATGCCGGCCGTGCGGTGGCTGGACCCGGAGATGGCGCATCGGGCCGCCGTGCTGGCTGCCAAGTACGGACTGGTGCCCAGGGACCGCAGCCCGGACCTGGCCGTGCTGGTAAGACCGGGCTCCGCAGCGGCCGGCCGGCTGGGGACGTGATCGTGCGGCAACTCGACCCGCGCCCTCGTCAGGAGTCGATAAATGCTGTCGTTTCGCGTGCTTGTTATTCGATTTGACGTCCTTTTTTAAGTATGAAAGGCCTTCTGCGGAATTTCTTATTTCAGGGGGTAACAAATGTCGATTTTAACTTCACGACGATCATTTCCACTTTATCTGCTCAATTAGCTCAACACTCAATGATCATTCGGTTCCAGAGGACCAGCCTGTGGGGTCTCGAGTTTGACAACCCCGTCGGTCTGGCGGCCGGGTTCGATAAGCACGGCGAAGCGTGCGATGGGATGCTGGACGTTGGCTTTGGGTTCGTGGAGGTGGGCTCGGTGACCCCGCAGCCGCAGCCGGGCAACCCGCAGCCGCGCGTCTTCCGGCTCGAGGAGGATGACGCCGTCATCAACAGGTTCGTGTGTCCATGAGGACTTACGACGGTAACGGTAGCTTATCAGCGCCTAGCCTATCCAGCATCCAGCGTTCGTTTATGGTCAAGAGGAACGTTTCTTTGTAAAACAAATCATGTGCAGATCGCTGATAGAAGGGTAAGATCCTGGGTAAGATAAAGCTTTGACTCCATACTACGAACTTCTGCATGGGCATTATTACTATGCCGATTTTTTACATCACATTGTTCTGTTAGGTAGTCAAAGTCTGAAAGGCAGCACTCTTTCAGGCACTCCTCTGTGACGTTCGATGATGTAATGAAAACCGATGACCAGGCACCAGTCATCGTTTCGTTTATTTTCGCTCAGGTACGGATTCAACTCTGAGGGCCATGCGGCGGTGGTGGAGCGGCTGCGGGCCCGGCGAGAAGCGGGAGGACTGGTTGGTGTAAACCTCGGCAAGAACAAGCTGTCAGCGGATGCAGCCGCCGACTACGTGGCTGGAGTCAACGCCTTCGCCGGTCTGGCTTCTTACTTTGTGATCAACGTGTCTAGGTGAGCTGCTGCAGTGGAGAGCTCCTGCCAACGATAAATCTTACAGAATTGACCATGGTTTGTCATGAATGGTGTACTTTTATATCGAACTTACATTCCTGTCTATTATATCTAGAGCGACTCGCAACGATCGATCAGCCGCCCCCAGTCCGATGGCGTTCCCGACTTTTTACTGACTTGTTTCTTAAAACTTTCTCGTGTTTTCCTTGACGTCTCATCGGCCGTTTGTCCCTGACCATGACTCTGTGGCTCTGACCCCTGCCATTCGTCCCTACAGTCCGAACACACCCGGTCTGCGAGAGCTGCAGAAAGGTGACGACCTCGAGAGACTGCTAGACAGCGTGCTAGAAGCCAGGGATGCCGCCTGTCCGCCGCCCGGTCGACCGCCCGTGCTGCTGAAGATCGCTCCCGACCTCAGTGCCGAGCAGAGGCAGCATGTGGCCCAGTGTGCGCTAGCGAGAAAAGTGAGAACCGGGAAGAGGATGAGATGAATGAATAGGACGTTCTAGAAACGATGTGTTGTGCATGGGAAGGGAATCTAATTTATTCTTATGTGGATTGGTACTGTTAGTGTCGTGCGAAGAGTTTTCTGCGTTTCAGTGACTATGCTTTTATGGGAATGTAGTCACGTGCTCTACACACCCTTTAAGACGCATGTGCGAAGCGACGTGTATCTGACCGCCCGCCCGCGCTGCCCCCAGGAGCGGCTGGGCGGTCTGATCGTGAGTAACACCACCATCAGCCGTGACGCCGGTCTGCGCAGCCCGCACGCCGCTGAGACGGGCGGTCTGAGCGGCCGGCCGCTGCAGAAACTCTCCACCGACACCGTCGCCGATATGTATCGGCTCACGAACGGTAAACATGCGGAATAGAGTCCCTCCCTACATGGGGCATGTATCTCTAGCCCGTCTCTGGCTAGTGACTAGGTCTCATGGACGGTTTAAGCTGGGACGGGTTTAGGCTTTGTATTGGAACCTTTTTAAAGCTGGTATGGATGTTGGATCAAATAATGTCGATGTAAGTGTTGATTTGATGTGACTATGTTACCCATGCTTCTTTGGTCACCATTTCCTTTGATTTCCTACTTTCCCGTCCGTCGTATCTATCCCACTTCCCGTTTCTATCCATCCGTCACTTACTCTTCGCCCCTCTCCGTCGTTCCCACAGGTCAGATTCCGATCGTGGGCGTGGGTGGTGTGTTCAGCGGTGAGGACGCCTACCAGAAGGTACGCGCCGGTGCCAGTCTGGTTCAGCTGTATACCTCGCTGGCCGTCTGCGGCCCGCCCATAGTCGGCGAGATCAAACGACAGCTCGCCGAGCTACTCACGTAAGTCGCCGGGCGCCGGCGTGACAGGAGAGTTTGTGGAGGTGTTTTATGTTTCTTTATAACTGTTTGGAATTTTGGAAAATTGATTGCTGACTACCCTGCCTAAATGTCTGTTATTCCTCATGGGCGACTCAATAGCGTTTTACTGAGTCGTATGTCTATCATATGGTCTACGATATCTTTATTTTTTCGTCGACTTTTGTATTCCTATGTTGTAGCAATAACGATGTTTTGTCATACCTATTGTCTGCCTGCCGTTAGGTTATGCTGTTTAGCACGGATATACTAGCCCTGTATGTACACATCGTCCTGGCTGGACTTGTCCGACATGACTTGATCTGACTTTACCTGACATATTGTCCTTTTCTCAGGGCCGACGGGTTCAGCAGCGTCTCGGAGGCGGTGGGAGCCGACCACCGGCCTGGTAAAACACGTACCAACAGCGCGGCGATACACGGTCGGGCGGTGTCCGAGCAGATCAGGGCAGACCTGAGGACCGCCGCCGGGAGCTGACCGCGAACTTGACCCATGTGACCTCAGTGGTAAAGACAATAGGTAGCGGAGAACACGTGAGACAACTCGGCGAGTCGCTGGCCGCTGCTAATGGAAGCGTATTTTGTTTGGGATTTGTCATTCGCAGCTGTGATGTAAGTCGATATGAAGAAGTGTAGTTTCAAGCCCGTTGTTCATGATGCTGTTGGTTCCATTACACGCACGCAGGGAACTGTTAGCCACATGCGGTTCTCAGTGCCAATTCAGGGGTTTGCCGATTATCTTGTTTGTCGATTATTCCTAGTCCGTCTCCAAGACCAAGGTCCCATTCTTCTCAGACCGTTTTGGTATCGTTACAGCGTATGCATATTGCATATCGCTTGTGTGCGTGTGTATGGTTAGAACGTTTATTAATAAAAACCATCATAGAACGAGAAGCATCCTGGTTATATATCTTGAATCCAAGACGGTTTCGTGTATGTTGCTTTTTCTAATTCTACTGATAGCTTTCCTGTCCGTATCGTGCCGGGTAGGCGCGCGGAGTTGGTCTCTCTCAGCTGACGCTCCGCAAGGAATGGAGTGATCAAGTGTCTAAGAAGCAGCTGTGAGAGTCGAACTGTTACTGAACTCCCTCGTAGCTAAGTCCAGTGCCGGCCACCGAGCGGCGAATCCACTCGTTCAGTCGTCGGTCCACCTCCGGCGAGACATGCTGCCGCCATTTTCCCACCTGGCCCTCTCTAATGAACGAAGACATTTCCAGAATACCTGCCTTCTGGTACATGAGTGAATTGGCGTGTTCGTTGTTCTTCATTTGCTTGAAGTCGAGGTGATGACACAGCTTCTCCACTTGCTCGGTAGATAGTGTCTTGCCGAGGAAGTCAGCCACGCGGCGAAGTGTACCAGGCATGTCACGCTTCATATCCTCGTAGAAGAGGAACAGCATGTTGGGGTGATGCCGCTGCCTCCACGCTTCCAGCACGTGCGAGAAGAAGGGCAGGCCGGGCAGTCGACCGGCCATGTAATCCTCGGCGAGATCGTCCATGGAGCCAGAGTACTTGACCACACGGCATCGAGAAAAGTGATGGTAGTAGGACACCAGTGCGTCCTTGGGGTTGCGAGTGACGTATATGACCTTGTTGGTCTCGAGCAGGTCCGGTGGCAGCAGTGAGAGGGGCACGTGCGTCTTGACGAGACCCACTGACTGCCAAAGGCTGCGCAACATCAAGTACAGCAGGTGAACCAGTCCAGCCAGCTTCCTCAGCCGAGTCATCACCAGGGGCACGTACTCGCGGAGAAAGGCCGGCGTCAGACCCAGATAGAACAGATTTCCCACTTCCGTGTATCGATTCTGGTCCAGCCGCGAGCGAGCGCCCTCAAAGTCGCAGTCGTTCGCCACCAGCCAGGCCATTTCCAAGGTCCAGGTGGTTCCACTCTTCGGCACAGAACAGACCACCAGCTCTCCAGGACGAATTGTACGGGGCGCCGAGTAGCTTGGCAGGCTCATCAGACCATGTCGAGGCAGCGCGAACCGACCTTCTCCGACGCGTACGGCTCCCGAGTCGAGGGCACGGCAGTGACCTCGTAGCTCAGACGGATCGAAGGGCACGACCACGTGGTCACGCCCGGCGCCGTCTCGTACCGTCCATCCATCCTCCGACTCCAGTTCGACGTCCTCCTGGATGCCAGAGTCACCTGAGTCACGAGAGTCGTACGACTCGTCCTTTGAGTTAAGCGACTCTAGTGCGTCTTTTGTGTCAGAGAACTCGACTTCGCCTGGTGATGAGATGTCCATCGTTTCGGCAGTTCCTGCGTTGTTCTGATTTGTGCTCTCGCTCTCTTGGCCCGTCGCGGTCCCTTCAGGTCGTTTCCGCGAGCTGCTGCAAAAGCGCCGCCTCAGCTCCTGTCCAGTTTCTGGTGCGGTGACCGCCATTGTCTGTCGAGTGGTGTCTCCGTCACCTGCGGCCCGCCTGGGAGCAGAGTCACGCCGTCGTCCTCCTGAGACACTTCTCCGGAGCCTTCCGGACCCTGTCGTCTCCCGGACCGCCGACGACCCGCCACTGGTCCGTCTCGATCGACGGAGGGATCCCAGCGGGGACCAGCAGGACCACTCAGTCCTCGTGCCGCCGGCTCCGGTCACCGTCCCGTTTGGAGACAGCGGAGCGCGGGAGGGATCACCATCAGCAGCCACCATCGCCGCCGACCGTCCGCGCCGCTCGGCGTAGCGCGAATCGCGAGACTGACAACAGGCACCCATCGTTCGCTGGATGCTTCTGAGGTAGACAGAAGTGGTTTGACGTTTTATGACTAACGGCTAGCGACGCTGGGACAATCAGGCACGGACAGGGACTGTGATAAGGCACGGGGAGGCCTAACGGTGCTTGTCTGGTGTTTGCGATGGCCCAGTGTGCTAAGAATGTCGCCGGGTTGCGCCATGGTTGAAAGAGCTGGGCCACTCACTTCAGGTAACTGTAGATCAGAGATAACACGAGCCACCCCCTTCGGAACAGTGTAGTACTAGTCACGGACCCATGGTATAACGAGAATAAGAAATATGGAACAGCAACGGCATTATGAATTCAATTATCAGTCATTGTTTGGTCGTCTGTTCAGGTGATTTAGCGTAAGCTGATGAGTATGGTTTGCAATATTTGTTACACACCTTACAAAGAGCGTAGTCATCGGGTGGCTAGTATGAAAGGTGTTACAAACGCATGTTACCCGACTCAGTCAGAATGTATTAGCATATTCACAAACCAGTTGCGGTTAACCTCGTATGAGCAAAACAGTTGATTGTTCCTCCATGACAACAAAGCTGGGGAGTTCTGGAAAAACAAAGATTCCCAATATAATGACGCTCGATAAATACAGGCACACCAAGCGGTGGGGACCCCCTGGCCTCCGCTGCTTTCCACCCAACAGTAGATACAGCCTCACAGCTGTGCGGACGCTGTTCATACTCAGCGGCGTTCTCGTCTCCATGGCAACATGGATGTGACGCCATTTCAACCACGGCCGGTACGCAGCGCCCACACAAACTGCATGTTACACAGGTAAATCAAGAACACTCGTCCCGGCATCGCAAGAGTCGGCATCTTTCGTTTGGAAGGTGAAACGGTGTCGTTCGCTCGCTATAACAAAGGCCACCCCAAACGTGACCCATTAGAGTAGATACGGCACCAAACACACATGGGACCACTCCGTGCGCGGAAAGGCCAGCGTGCTGCCGTTCAAACTGGCAAATGTGTGTCAAACTGCGGCGCCTATGTTGACACATGACACCTTCTGTGCGACCCCCTCGGTTATACCGAGAACGGGGGCCGATGAAAGATAATTGCCTGCGGTTTCCCCAGTTCAGATCCATGCCAAAACGTACACTCCTCCCAGCAGACAGCGCACGAGGTGCAGCTTGGAAAGCTCGGCAGACAGGCCGAAATACTGACTTTTTTGGCAGCTTCACGCACGCTGTTATAACAGTCGATACTTCACCAGCTTCGGCAGGTGTTCGACACCAGGAGTGGTGTGTAACTGGCTGACAACGCTAAGAAAGCGGCTTTCACAGGCGAGTGACAACCGCTCCATTGCATGCCTAAAGCGCGCACCATGCTATTATGCATGCCATGAGCAGTGACTCTCCCAAAGTCGCAACGCAGCAGTGACTGAAGCTCTCCGAAGGCGTTTCAGAATCATTTGCCACTGCCCCACACACATCATACGCTCACTTAGGCACGGTAACAGTAACTCAGCGGGGCAGTCAGGTGGATCACTTCGACAGCGGTTTGTCCAGCTCAACGGTCTTCCCTGATGGAGCCGATTACACCAGCCACTACGGACCTTTCACGGGTCTCAGGGACCGGCACCGTCCAGCGACCGGCAGGCAGGCACCACCCCGGCCCACCACGGCTCACCGGCGGCTCTATCACAGACATTCCTCTGCCGCTCTCCCCCGAGAGGCGGCGGTGAAAACTAACTAAACCCGAGACGCGGCGGTAGGTCATGACCGAGCTTGGCGGAAAAACAGCTGAAACACACGCAGAGGCCACTGTCAGCGGCTATTTCATGACATAATAACCCAATGTGATGCAAAACGAATACTACGTAGAAAATACCAGCATCTTAAAGAACACCGATATCAACTTCCAATGCACAGAAGAGTTGAGAATGGAAAGATCATAATGACATTCTTAAATATAAGGAAAGCAACGCCCATTATGCGTCCAATGTGTGCAAAAAAAAAAACTGTCCCAAGACTCACTTCTGATCAATCCACTCATTCCAGCACCAATACGACCGTCATCCAGACTCACCTTGGTGTAATTCCTAAACATTTTCGAGTCGGAGCGGAGCGCCTGGCAGAACCTCTGGATGGTCTCCGGCTCAATATCCAGCTTGGGCATGTACTGCGACTGCAGGTAGTTGATGAGCTCCTCGCCCTGTGACATTGAACGCAGTGAGAGGTCAGAATGAGTAGTGATGTGGTGCTGGGAGGAGAGAGACTCATTGAGTCATGGCAAGATAACGAAGACTTCACTGCATGGTGGCAGCTCAGTATAAACATACGGTACATTTATATAAGTCAAAAGACACCGCAGCTCAAAACCAGCAAAACAAAATTAATACAGACACCAATATTACAACCAGTCACATAAGCGGCATAAGCGGCAGCAGGAGAGACCAGAATCCCCGACTATGTCGTCAAGCCGGACGATCATTATCCCATCCCATTAGTTCACTGAATTCCCCTCTCGGCCGCGGCCGCCACCCGACTCACCCGCTGTTCATAGACGGACCGCAGACAAAGCGAGCTCTCCTGTAACGCCTGCATGGTCTGGGCGTCCGAGAGATCGAACGTGGTCCGCAGAGGAGCCAGGAAGCAGGCGGGCACCACGTGCTCATAGAGGAACTGGGCGAACTGGGGTGGCCCGTCCCGACCCCACGCTTCAGTTACCCGCCGTAATACTGTGAAACACGACCGCTGTGCCTGCAAAACGGAAAAAACAGAGTTAGAACGGAAAGTTTAACGAGAAAACTGTGATATCCCCCCCCAAAAAAAACAGCATCGAAAAAAAATTACAATGTTCATAAGAAAGACCTAACTACAACGTGGTTGAAATGTGTAGTTGGCATTAATTTATTTCCCAGTCGACAGGAATGCCCGATGGAAACAAAATCCGTTTGTTGGCACGACTTTACCAGACGCGTGCATCAATGATAATTTCAAGCCAATGGCCTTTCGACAGCCGACACCAGTTCTTTCGTTGACGCCAATCTACTCAATCCCAAGCGTGACGCCCAGCCGCCCTTACCACGGGGTCGGTGAGTTCGACGGCTCCCTGAGCTACCGACAGCAGCACCGTGTTCAGGTGCTGCGGCTGCTGCTGAGACAGCACCTCCATCACCCCGTTAGACACCAGCGTAGCCAGGAAGAGGAAGTAGCACCGCTCCAGCGTCTGACGGTCCCGCTTCGCCTGCAGGGACACGAGACAGGAGTGATAATGCGTTCGATGTGGAACGAGACATAGACTGGGAGAGAAATGGTAGGGAATACATGTGGATATCTGTAATTGAGGAGGCACATACAACCGCCGCGCTATAAATCTCAGGTAGCCCCTGCAGCGTCGACTGACTGATTTAGTCGTTCCCCGTCGCGTGCCAACGACCCTCGCGGTGCGTCTAAGACAATGGCCGCCCAAATCATCATTATCAAAATTATCTGAAGGTACACCGCACCTCACTTTACACATATGCACCAGGTTGTTACACTCACCACTTCATCGTCCTCGTCCACGGGCTGACGCAGGCCGGCGAAGATGGTCTCCACGATGGGCATGAAGGCGCGGGTGAGGAATGGCACCACCTCCTTCTGTAACAGCCAGGACAGCTGATCTGACAGAGCCGCACTAATCCCAGCCGTCGGACACGCGAAGGAGTGCCACACCACAGAAAATGCAGACGCCAGCAAACAAACAGGAAATTTATGATACAAATAATTCATACAATCGTAGGAAACAACATGTCTAACGAGTTGCGCAAACCAGCTACCTGACTACCTACCATTTCTGTCACGGCAAATAAAAAGCGGTAGTCTAGCATTTTCTAAGATTTTCGCTCGCGGCAAGAAGAAGCTGCGACAGCAGCTGCTCAATAAAGACACTTTTTATCTAATCATCACACCTAACTAATAATAAAACTCACTCGTCTTGTTCTCACCTTATACTTGGCCACGACCTGCCCGATGAGCGGCAGGTACTCCTGCACCTTCTTGACGTCAGCGGAGCGCAGGAGCGCCTCGGAGGCAGCGGGGATGAACGGCAGTACCTCCTCCTCCAGACAGACGACTAATCGGTGCAGGTACTGCACTACGCCGGACTGGAGCAGCGGGTACTGACGGCGGCCCTGTGTGCAAACATGCAGACATATATATTACTGACCGGGCCGACGAAATTATTTGGAAACGAGGTTTGCAAAATTGACGTAGGCCCGAGTGCGAAGCACGAGGGCCGGAGTCAAATTTTGCAAGCCGAGTTTCCAAATAATTTCGTACGGCTGAGGTCAGTAAGATTTTTCCTACATGCCGCATAGCTAGGTTAGTTTCGACAGGTTTTGGTGACACTTATACAATTGTTTTGTCCATATTTTCCTAACAGTGATTGCGCTACTGCTGTGGATAAAGCCTTAAAGGAAATTTATAGAAGAAAATGCATCAAAATACCTTACTTCAAAAAGAATCACGTCTGAAAATATCAACTCAGAATGGCACAACAATTAGATATCCAAGGAACATTGAATGATTTGCCACGACATAAGAACAAGAAGAAGGTATAATATTCCTAGTGATTAAACGTGAATTTTCCCAGTGCTCTTGCAAGAATCTTTGCTTCATTTATGTAATCGTACTTCGTTGATATGCCCTATGGCTAAACGTTCGTTAAATACATTATATTTTCCATATTTTACATGTTTGTTTCGAGGAAAGGACTACAACTGCCAAATAAACGCATTAACTTAGGCCCAAGGTAGGTATCAGTGGACATATCAAACGAAGATAAGACAACAAGCGATAACGGATTTCGATTAATAGGCGTACCTATATCTTACCATAATTTCGGCTTTGTAACCAATACAAAATATTTCAAAACCCTTGATAAGCAGAGCAGATATTTACCCAAAAATGTTAGTTTTCTAATTTTACGCGGCAAATATCATGCAATAATGATGTCAATTATACATTCCCTGTCAATTATACCTCTGGACTAATGCGATAAACTGTAGTTTAGAGGTCATTGCCCTGGGCAGTAAACTCGGGCAGTAAACTTTTGTTTCCTGCCCGGCCTATCAAATAACATGGCATTTTGACACCGACAGTTTCTTGGTCATAGTTTTACTGTATGCCTGGCCTATTCAATTACATTAGCCTGAGGGGTGTGGTAATAACTGGTGTAAGCAAAGTGACCACGGTCAAAAACGAATTACCAAGTCAACATTTTGGGATGGCCTCGTTCAAAAAATGGCTAAGAGCTTCGGTCTAGACAATTATTTTATCGTTGGCATACAGTAAAATACATACCAAACTCGGCCGGTGATAAATTTTCAAGACCTCAGTCCTTACTGATTTTTGAACTCGGCCTTCGGCCTCGCTCAAAAATCCAGTAAGGACCTCGGTCTTGAAAATTTATTTACACCGGCCTCGTTCAGTATTGGGTATTATATAATACTGAACGAGGCCGGTGTAAATAAATTTTCAAGACCGAGGTCCTTACTGGATTTTTGAACGAGGCCGAAGGCCGAGTTCAAAAATCAGTAAGGACTGAGGTCTTGAAAATTTATCACCGGCCGAGTTTGGTATGTATTTTAACTGTATGCCAACGATAAATTTATTTTCTGGACTGAAGCTCTTAGCCGACTAAAGGAACGAGACCATCCCAAAATGTTGGCTTTAGTGCATTCTGGTAATGCATTTTTGACCGTGGTCAATTTGCTTACACCAGTCATTACCACACCCCTCTGGCTAATGTATTTGAATAGGCCAGGCATACAGTAAAAGACCACGCCGGACTGTAGCAGCAGGTACTGCCGGCGGCCCTGTGCAAACAATAGCAGTGTATGTTGTTGGAATGCAATGTTAATGTTATGAACACGATTATAAAAGAGAACCTACCTAGTACATCAGCCGAAGACATGAGTTTGACGTCGCACTCGCTAGATCAGCAGCAACTGCCGGACGTCTTAATCGTTACCAAACGTTACCGGCCCTCATCAAAACCAATGCACACCACAGCAGAGTGTAACGCCCTTTCCTTTTGCCTAACCCCAACCCCTCGCTGATATACGAACCTGCAGCGTGCCGAGGAAGATCTGCAGCGCCTGCAGGTACAGCTGCACGCAGCCAATCAGCTTCATCGTCTGGCCGGCCGAGAACGCCTTGGTGGTGCGGGCCGTGACGGCTACAGCGTGCCGGGCGGCCTTCTGCAGTCGCTCGGCCTCGGGCGAGCCCTCCGGAGCGGCCTCCAGCTGGGCGGCCAGCGTCGTCACCTGGCCCACCACCGGGCCCAACAGACGCTCCAACTGCGCGCACTTGTGCTGAAAGGGGTAGAGGGGTGGTAAGGAAGGTTAGAGCGCAGCCTCGTGAGACGATTACCACTATGAGCACGTCAAACTGAACGACTGAGATCTTACATTTGGACGAAATCTTCAAAAATTGCCGCCGAAAGATCTAAAATCGTTTGGAAACCATTTGCCACCAAATTTGGTAACAAGGTATAAGTGTAGTTCTCTCCCAGTCCACCCAAGAGACGCCACAAACCAACCGTTTCATCAGGGCGAGAGGTGTTTCCCTCCTCAGACCTCCACGGACTGTCCTCATATCCTAATCGGTCTTACCTTGTTATCAGCCGGCGCGGAAATAATGAGCACCGAGACGGTCTCGAACAGGTACAGCTGGTCCTCACGATTCAGCAGCGTGGTCTCCGACGGCTCTAGCGAGAGGAGGTCGCCGATCTGACCCAGGATAGTGTCCGTGAACGGGCCCATCTGAGTTCTGGGGAGGTGAATACGGAGAAATCAGTCACTCGCAATCAGGATTCGGGAATCTATTGGACGATCATGAACGGCTAAACAGTAAATGGTGTACAATGATAGACCAAATTAATCACTCCAAGACATAACGTCCGTATTTGACTGACGTCGTTGCGAGCACTTTACTCATTGCGTTGAGCCATCAACTTTCATAAGAAGGCGGTAAAAAAGTATTGCGTTTATATTCAGGGGCTGAACTGGAAAAGGGGACAGACCACTGCGATTGGAGACACTCACTTGAGGCATTTGATGAATCGCGAGAACAGGTAGACGGCCCGTGCCCGGTTCCGCTCGTTTGGGTGGTTCATGCCACGCTTATCCAGGAAAGCGGACAGAACCTGTAAGAAAACGGAACCTATATGTCAGCTTTCGCAGAGACACAAAACTGAAGATTCGATGATGAATGTGGAAATCACGAAAACACTCGGAAACGCCGATCTTGGGAAAGTGTTTGGAAATTGCCGGCGAACTTAAATGAAAAGTTCTTCCCAATCAGGGTATATCATAATACAAAACAAAATGGAAATTCTGAAGACATGTATCTCGTCTGAGACAAGTAATTGCAGGTCAGTGGAGCAAGCTTTGTTCCGAATTCTCGTCACCAGCCGTCTAGGGATGACGGCACGCGGTCAAACCGCACCCACCTGCGGCAGATAGCTGGTCTCGACGGTGAAGAACTTTTCGTATCGGGAGATGGTCTCGAAGTACTGGAACGGCACGATGTGGTGGGGGTAGGAGACGACGTCGGAGGTCACCAGCTGGCGCATCATCGTCTGCAGCAGCGTCACCTTGACCTGGGCACAGGCAAGGTTGTCAGTGAAAATACTGGGAGACTCATCAGTACCGAAGAAGAATTCGAAGAACTTGATCATTACAAATTGTAAGATTTAAACCACAGTCCCAATCACAAAATAGTGAGCTTGTTTGACAGCACAGTGGTCCGATCACGAATAAATTATGAAATTAAACCAAACACCGCTTTTTTATCAAGCAGGATATCACTTCGAGCGGCGCATAAGTAACAAGCTCTCCATGCCCTGCCAAAACAAATAACGCTCCCCCACCCCCACTCCCAAGAGCCATCAATTCCCTGCTCCTGACGAGTTCTCGTCCGCCGTTTACTAACTGACGGTGAACAGAATATCTAACCACTCCCTTACCAGGTCCTCTGAAAAGAAGTTTCCAGCCGCTGGCGTAGGCAGTGCCTCCCCGAGCATGTAGAGCATTGTGATGGCCGCCTCGACGTCTTTCATGGGCAGCTGCCGCCATCCGTCCAGTGTGGCCGTGATGTACTGCTGCGTGATGTGGAGCACCAGCTCCCGGTCCACGGCAGCGAGGTTACCATACAGCACCTTCAGCCGCTTCCTGAAGGAGGTGACGAAGAGATATAGACGTCAAAACTCAGAGAACAGTGCAGTGGTACGATGGAGCACCTCTATAGCTATAGCCACTCCAGCATCGGAGCTAGATAAAATGAGACGCAACGATGGGACTGATGGAGATTGGGACATGTTTGAGAAAACTGCGCCGGACTCTGAAGACAGCCATGGACGAACACAAATCGTAAAATCCATCTTTTCGGTCAAATACGCGAAGGCAAAACTCGCTTAAAACTTAAAAGTATCTTGTAGCGAAAATCATGGCCTTTCAGGGACGCTTTTACACGAAAACACAGACGCCCAATGGCTAGGAGCAGCCTCTCCCTCCCAGCACAAAGACCCATTACCAGACCGACGCGCCTGCACCATACCTGTACTCCTGGAACATGGCCTCGTCCTCCCCGAGCGCCTGGAAGTCGTACTCGTCGTCGTACTTGAGCTTGTGGATGATGACATACACCATGTCCCGGACGTGTGCGGTCTCCGCCTCGGCCAGCATCGGCTTGGTCTTCAGCATCTGCAGCGGCACGACGCGTCAAAGCAAAAACAAAACAAATAAAGGTGATAGTACGTCGTGCAATGCCATTGAAAAGCAGGGGTCATCCCAGAAACACCAGAAACACCGGCACTCGACTTGGTATTGCTTTCAAACTGGTAAGATATTCTAATAGTCTGTTTAAAAAAGGTTATTAACAGGCCACGATATACTTCTTGGCAATCTGACGAATGATAAGTCCTGTAGACTAGTCTGCTATTTGTTACCTACCGACTACGGTTAACCCCAATCACAATAATCCGTGCGTGCTCACCTGCACATAATCCCTGGCGAAGTCAATGACGCTGCGAGACGGATCGTCATACTCGCAGTTCAGGAAGGCCAGCATGCGGCCCATCTTAGCCGCTATAGCGGCCTCGACTGCGACTGTCGCACCCGGCCCGGTCTTGGCCAGTTTGTGGTAGCAAAGCACCAGTTCTGTTCCCATGCCGTTCAGCAGCTTACCAAGCTTACAGAGGTAGTCCACGTCTTCGGCCGGCGTCTGTGAGATGGGTGGGGTCAACGCAGGTCAAGTTGGGCAGTCGTGGGGCGGATACTGTTACAAAACACTGGATGCAATCCGGGATATTTTGTGGGAGACCAGAAGAAAAAACAACATTTATCTAAAACACATAGGCCATTCCTAAGAATAAATATCGGTATCAGAGGAAAAAAACACGAGCCGTCGACATAAAACATGTAGGCACCTTATCAACAACATGAGTGGGTCATGTGCATTCGCGACATGCCATCACAACCCATGTCACGATACGTAATCACAAAATATATTACGCACGTTAGTACATCGATTCGACACCCACCCACGCTCACTATGACTCACCTGGTCGTTAACATTATCGAGCAGCGCGAACACTGACGCCTGCTCGAGCACGCCAAACAGCGACTCGACCAGCTGCACCTTGCTGAGCGGCTCCATGCCCTTGTGGCAGATGTCGTGCAGGCACTCTGCGGCCGCCTCGCGGACGTCCACCAGGCCCAGCAGCGTCACCAGCACCGAGACGAAGCTGTTGTTGGCCACCTGGGTGGACGTAGGGGAAACGGCGGAGAGGAGGCAACAGTCAGCGACTTGATGCATTTAGTGATACCCACGCTGTTATTACATACCAACTCTACCGAAACTAGGACGGTTGCGGAAAGCAAATATTTCATAAAAGCAATCGTTAAAACATGGGATTGGAATTTGACCGGTTTTTTGCACATTTCTTCAGTCGCAGTTTGACAAATGACAAGCTAATCAGGGTGATCATGTGCCAACTGACGAGGGTTATAGGCTACAATGAAACCTTCGGCAGACAAAAAGGTCATTTGCAAATCTACCTCCCTACATGGTCTACACTGATCCTCTCCGCCTATCCTCCACTCCTTCACCTGCTCACGCTGCCCATGGACTCATCCTCTCACCAGTCCAATGTCTATCCAGGAGACGTATTTGCCGACCGCCTCCAGACACATGCAGGCCAGCTGCGGCTGCGAGCCGGCGTAAGTGTTCAGCGTGGCCAGCCACGCCTCCACCAGCTGTGGCACGCACTTCTCACGCATGGCGTCACGGATGCGCGTGTTGCGCCGCGCCTCGGCCTCCGAGTGCACCACGTCACGGTCCACGATCTGAGGGGTTAAAAGGAGGGAGCTGGGATGGTCACAGGTCATAAAAAAAAATTGGAGACAAACAGCTTCTCACAAACATGTCTCTGGCATAATATTGAACCGGTAACACGTGTCCAACCGGAAGCTTATCACCAGCTCTAAAAATGACAACCTACACTATAAGACTGCACTCGACCACCTGCTGCGAACACGAAATCCTTTACCCACTCCACAGAAGCTCCTTCCCCTGCACCCCATCCGTCCCCTCTCCGTACCTCCTGGTCGATCTGGAGCAGTGTCCTGAGGAACGCATCCACAGCCGGCGGCCCCAGCTGGGTGAGCGCCATCAGGTCCAGCAGGAACGTCGGCCACCGGTCGGGGAAGTCGGTGACGAACACCAGGGAGAACACCTGCGCCGCCTTGTTCCGCAAGTAGGTCTTGGCGCCCGCGCCGGCCAGCTTACACTGCGGCGGGACAGGTTGGTGGATCGGTCAGGTCGAAACGGGCAAGACCGAGTTGCTGTCGTAAAGCGCGTAAGGTTTGATACGACGTCAAACATTTTGCACAGCGGTTCATCATATGCCTAGATACTCAACCATAAAACTATAATATGTAAACGAATACATTCCTCTGAGGCTTCTAGCATCCACTGACACCACAATGTCATGTCCAGCCCAGGCATCCAGTAGAGCTTATTATGAGTGAGCCATCTGGCCTTATGACTGTCTTTTGACCACCGTTCCCCTCCAGCCTTCTCACCTGCCGCTGCACCCATCCATTGATAAAGTGCCGCACCAGAGGCGACGCCACGTCCGCCTCGGCCGGGTAGCGGGTCTTCACAAAGTGTTCCACCGCCTGGAGACAATAAAACTGCACGTGCTCCTCAGCGTCCAATGACGGTGAGAGCAGCGCGTCCACGCAGAGCCGCCAGCCGGCGTCAGAGGCCTTCAGACTGTCCAGGTAGGCCAGGCCATCGCGCTGGAGCTGGGCGTCTGGCTCGATGAGGCCGCGCAGCCGGCGTACGAACTCCTCCCCCGCGGCTGCCTCCATCACCGCTGGGGCTGAGAGCTGTCAGAGGAGAGAGTGGGTGAGGTGCTGTAAGACAGAAGGAGGGGGAGGGGATCTATACTGGTGACTGCCTCCCACACTGTTGGGGCTGAGAGCTGTTGAGTAGAGAGTGGGCAAGGTGCAGTAAGACAGGTGGGGGAGGGATCTAAATGTTCAACTTTTGGCAACATTTATAACTACTTACATAACTGCCTGTTATTGTTACTTTTCATTTTTTTTAGACAGAGAGGAGTGATAGAATGCAAATTACTGTTGGATTATTGTTATTGGAATAACCTGTTGGATATTTGAAAAATGTGTGAAAAATGTGCTGACCTAGGCAGATCAGTAAATAGAAATAACAAAAAGTTCCCTGCCTACACCGTTTGCGTCTTGACACTTTCGTAATGCTTACTGTGGCGATGTCAGTTGACCTGTGGAGGTGAAATTGTCAGGGTGTGTGGGTCATGTCGGTGACAACATAGCTCGTCTTAAATTTTGAGCATGATGCGGCTGGGGGTGCACCCTTGGCGTGTGCTCATGTGCACCACGGGGTAAACATTAGGAAAGACAAAAACAGACTGTTGCTCAGGAACAGTACGGGCTATGAAGATGAACTTTTTGAGCAAAGTTGGACGCATGCACTCATCTGTTGCATCAACTTTTCTAGAGGATGGTGATGGGTTCAGTGGTGTGCATATGGTGCAGCCTCAACCACTGCCGACCAGAGTGCACTGTGTGTGTACATGCTTTAGGTGCAGCTTTTGCTGCAAAAAAAAAAAAATGAGTGAAAAGAATCAGAGCCTCATTGTCATTAAATAAGGCCTTCGGCCTCTCAGACCGTAAATGAATTAAATTTATTCATGCAATAATTCAGCTGTAATTGGCCTATTGCGGCTTGCACTGAAACTTCTCTATCCCGGCTTTGAAGACATTTAGGCTGGGGATGGCGACAACGGAACCGCAAGGTAGTGGCATCAAATTTTCATTGTTGATGATGTAAATGGTTAAATCATTTGGTAGGAGACGACCAGTTGATTCGCATGCCTCTTATCATTTCTGATAAATGAAAATAATGAATTTAACACTGTATGATATTCATTACGAATAAAGGCTGCGAGAACCGCTGCACGTGGGTCGCGATTTGCCGGAAGCGTCGGCAGTGAGGTGAGAGGGAAAATCGCGATACTTACTGTTGTGTGTTTTGATAAAATACACTGAACTTGACGTTTATATGTCAAAAGTGCAACCGCCGAAAACAACTTAATATCAACGCCCTCCTTCCTAAAACAAATTAACCACGTGCGCCCCCTTGCTTGAAAGTGATTTCGCCAATCGCCACAGATTTCGCCGATTTCGCCACACGGCTGAAATAATTATTAAATTACAAATATGACGCAAATGCTGTCTTTCTGACGCTCATCTTATAAAATGCCGTCAGTAATTTAAAAAAGGTCTATGAAAGGTAAGTAAATAGTGTTCCAAAGGAGAGTGACAAGAATACCTATTTTATTTTATTAGGTATATTACATTTCACATCATAGAAAATATGCCAATTTGGGTCAGATATAATCATAAAGGATTGTCGATCGAAAGCAAGTGAAGTTCTAACCAGACATTTGTACGTACACATGCGATTCATTCATCGAGCTACGGTCATGGACCACGATCATGATAGGCATAACGCATTAGTAGGTAGCAGGTATTTGTCTTCGAACACATGCGACATAGCGCAAGTGTCGTTCTGCGATGTTCATTATTTTCGTTTTGTGGACCCTATTAACATTTCTCGGCCACCTTCTCGACCCCGTCTACGGTGGCCGTCTCGACGATCGGCTGTTTCTCCTGCGAGCTGTCGGCTTCGGCATCCCATGGCTGCCGGTCACCCGAGGCCATGATGAGGAAGGCGACCATTCCAAGGATAAACACTGCGGCAGCGAGCCAGAAGACGATTCGCCAGCCAGCCAGCGACTCGGCGCCCGTGGAGCCATCCAGGATAGCGCCGGCCGCCAGCGGGCTGAGCAGCGAGGCAGCGCCGCCAGCCGTGTTGGCCAGCCCAAACACGGTGCCGCAGAATGTCGGAGACACGTCGATGGTGCTGAGCGGGTGTCCGACGGTCGTAAAGGCCGTGGCCAGACCGGCCAGGCAGAAGAGCGCCGCCGTCACCGCGGGCGGCAGGTGGGCGACCAGCGGCAGGGAGAGCAGACAGACGCTGACGCCTCCGCAGCTGGCTACCGTGGCCAGTCGACGAAGCGCCAGTGGCTTCAGCCAGCCGCGGCGCAGCGCCAGGTCGCCGTTCAGCCCCAGCAGGAGACCGAGCAGTGCGCGTCCGATGTGCGGTACACCGCTGAGAATTCCACTAGTGTGCAGGTCCAGACCGACTGCGTCCTTCAGGTAGAGAGGCACCAGCGTCACCAGCAGCTGCTGGCCCCACATGTTGGCCGCCTCACAGATGACGATGGCCCAGACTGGTGCCGAGCAGAGGATAGCGCAGTACGGCGGCGTGGCGGAGGAGGCCGGCAGCGAGGCCGACACTCCGATCCTCCGCAGCTCGCACTCACACGCTGCCGGGTGTTCTGCCGGCGAGTCGTACATGCAGAGCCACCAGACGAGCAGCCACAGCATGCCGATGCCGCCGGTGACGTAGAACACGCTCTGCCAGCCGAGCGCCACGCTGAGTGAGGCAGCCGCCGGGCTGATGGCGGCCACGGCCAGCAGCTGGGCAGCCGTGATGAGCGCGCACGCCGTCTGCCGCTCGTCGGCCGGCAGCCAGCGCGCCAGCAGCGGGAACAGACTCGGCAGCACCGGGCCCGTGGCCAGTCCCTGCAGCAGCCGTACCGCGATGACCCCAGTAGCGCCGGCCTGAGCGGCCACCGGCAGCAGCAGTGCCAGCAGGCTGGTGATGCCCAGAGAGACAGCCAACACACGCCGGGCGCCGAACCGGTCGGCCAGGCGACCACCGGGCACCTGAGACACCATGTAGCCCCAGTAGAAGGAGGAGAGAACCAGGCCGCGACTGAGACTATCCAGCTGCAGACTTCCTCCGGTGCCGACCGTCTGATTCGTCTCCGTCGACACCAGCACCTCCTCAGACTCCTCTGTGTTCACCAGCAGCTTAGCACTGAAGGGAGAGTCCGCGGCGTTGGAAGTCATCTCCGTCCACCTCGCGTCCACACTGAGCGGCAGCACCGCCTCCCAGGGCAGAGCAGGACGGATGACGGTGGTTGTAATGAGAGGCACTCGAAGTGCCCCAGAGATGTTCGACGGCGTCAGCTCGGCCGGCGTCTCCATGGCGATGATGGTCACGTTGAGGACGACTCTCAGGGCCATTTGGACGGCGAAGCCCCAGACGAGGAGCAGCATGACTCGGTAGCGGGCTGGAAGGCGCCACCTGGAAGCCCGGCCTCCGGAGTGAACCGAGCAGGCCTCTCTGGCCTTCAGTTCGTCTGCCTTGACGCATTTCTTACCTCGATCTGGCCCGTCTTCGTGGCAGCCTGGATTGTTTTTGCCATCGGAGGGGGCCGGTTTGTTGAGAGTACCGTTTTCTGCGTCTGGTAGCGTGGGCAGCTCATCCAGAGTACGGTAGAAGATTGAGCCGGTTGACATGAACATGGTGATGTGGCAGATGAAGCAGAAGGAACGCCGAGTTCTTCAATGACACTGAAATGCTCTTCTGTCTGGTTCGTTTAGTTTGCGTTAGGATTTATCAGCAGTCAGCACGGTATTGTAACTAGATGGACGATGAAGTCTGCTTGACTGGATATTTGACGCGTTGCTAGCAAAGGAACAGTTTCGCTCGCACAAGCAGGACCTCTCGGCTCTCTGAGATGATTGCGCTGACACAATACTCAGGACCGGTCCTGTCCGTGCTCTTCCAGAGTTCACTGCGATCTGTCCCATCCAGCGCTCGGCCGGGAAGATAAACCCCGAGGCCGCCTTTCTTCCGCCCACAACAAACCGCAAGTCTGACTGGAACGCCACACACTCATACACACAAAATCGAGGAATGAGAAACGCGTGTGCGTCACACCGTTTTGCTCAGACGTAGTGATGATTACAAATTGAGATACCTACATCTGCTCGTAGTTTCATAGATATCATTTGTGATTCATCGGTGATAAAATTAAGGCTATAAACGTTGCAGCGTATGTATAGGTATTGGTCAATACCAAATACCAAAATACCAAAGATTAAAACTAAAAGCCTTTTTAGTTTTTAGACGTTTCATTCGCCCGAACGAATAGGTAAACGTTGTTTTATGCTTAGGGCATTTAAAAGCTCCACCTACGTGGCACTCTTACCTAAACACTTATGAGTATCCTAGGGCGGCAGGGCTGCCTAGTACCTAGTACCTAGTGCATATCTACCTCTCTAAACAGGGACGTTTTGTGCCATTGTAGAGACGGTGAGCGCTCCTTCAGAAGTAAGCAATATAAAGAAGCCTTTGAAAATATAGCTAAGGCCAGGAGATGGTGGCGACTACGGTTAGCGTGACAGGAGTGCTCGCCTCAGCTAAGCTCAGGCCAGCTCAGGCCAATGCCGTCAAGTGACGAAGTGGTAAGCGGTTAAACTGGTGCGGGGGGGAGGGGGAGTGGGGCGAACGTCCCCATATTTTTCGGCGGGCCAAGCTTTAGTTCAGAGATGGCGCACGGCAGACACACCAGATTTTGGGAACCCTTTGGGAATCGATTGAAGTTTACTCTAAAAATGAATGAATCAGCTTATTGTTGTTATTATCATTCTTTCTTATTTTAGATGTTGAGGTGTCATGTAGTTTAATTTGCGAAATGAAAGCACAAAAATAAACGTACAAACTACCGTAAACGACATTACGCTATCAACATTTTGCCAAATGAGATAAAAAATACATGCTCGATTTTCAATCATCGGCCTTTCATGTATTTTCCAAAACTTTAAAGCAATTCTTGCCCATTTATCGAACTAACTTAACCCTCGCATGTGTGCGGCGTTTGCCAGCTTCTAATGTGTAGGGGGGGGGGGGGGTCGGTTGGACCCCCCCCTTGCCGTTTGGCCCCTGATCGAGCTAGAGCTTCGCGGAAAAAACGAGCGTGTTGCCCGTGACGAGAGGAAGCCGATGATACCCAATTTTAAGGTCCTAGGTCATTGGTTGACCTTCCAGGTCAGGTCAATGACCCAAAGTCGGGAAAATCGGGACCTGTTAGAAAGTCGTAAAGTGTGGCTGCTAAGGGGTTTTTCGGGGTGCTGATCACGAATATTGTGTTAGTTTTGATCACAGATGATGTTTTTAAGCATTTAGACCAGGTCAGGTCAGGTCAGGTCAGGTCAACCAGTAGGCGTCTTGACGGGTATTCGTAGTACGTGTCAACCGCCTCTGACAGCTTCGTAACATGTTACGAAGGCACCAAAACTACTTCGTAAATGTTCAAATGGTTGCTAAATTCGAATTCAGCTCCAAAAACTAGCCTAGAAACATGTACAGCTCGAAAAAGTGAACCGAGGTCACCCGAGGTCACCAAAGGTCAATGACCTGACCTGACCTTCAGGTGACCTTGACACCCACCCTAATGCATGGAAGCAACATCAAATCACATGTTTGAACGTTTGAAACCACGAAAAGCTTGCAAACGCGCGGCTAATGCGAGCCGACATACGCAGAATCGCGATTCCGGCCAAACATGGTCTCGGAAAAGAGGTCACAGGTCAAAGGTCATTTGGGCCAGGGTCATGAAATTTTCAGGGTAGGTGTGAAATTGATCAATGTGAGGGTACTGAAAGTTTCGTCGCGATCGGCCGCTTTTTACGCGAGTTATTCGCGAAAAACCATGGGGGGGGGTCCATCCGACCCCCCCCCCTACACATGCGAGGGTTAATACGAGCATGATATAAGGGGATTGGGGATTCATGCAAGTGAGTTTTTCTTACCACTAAAATGTACTATAAGATGAATACCACCATCGGATCCATCGAAAAAGGGTGTCGAAAAAGTCATTTAGACGAAACGCGTCCACCCAATGTGCTGTGTAACCCGTCTCAATATATATATATTTGTCTATTCCTACTCAACTTAGTTATGTATGTTTTATTCAATAAGAATGTCATAAAATCAATTAAAATTGATCTAACAGTTAAATCGGGAATCGTTATTATGCTTCAACATTCAGCTTCTATTTCGATTTATCACTGATATAACGTTTAGAAGACAACGCCTTGCTGGTCGACAAAACGTCGGCTGTTTTGCCAAACCGTATCACACATTACGAAAACTTGGGATTCAATGCACGAATATGATCGTTCTAACTGGATGTCGCTCGCACATTTTATTTCAAACCGGACTTGAGACACAGAAATACGAAAGTCTTGTATTGAGATTTGAGTCATTTCCCGTTAGTCCCTGTCTATCATCCCGCATCCTTGACACAGTGGCGGCTCTGACGCCGTTTTCAGGCAGACGTCCGGAGGGCGATGTGTCAGTGCTGATAAGCGCACATAAAACAATATCTGTCCGGTTCCATACACACCGAATCCACAACACATAAAACGATGACACATCCACCCTGCCTAGACGACGTACGGGCCTGAACGACGCTCGCGTGTCGCGTCCGATGGGGCGAAGGACAGTTCAGACGTCAGCATTCGGAGTTTATGGTGACACATGCGCGTGCAGGCCTTAGACATCTTCAGAGGCACCGCCGGTCGAGCGTGGTGCAGCGGCACCCGTGCAGAGGTCAGGGGCCTCTATGGAGCCACAACAGACAGACGGCCGCCGTGTGGATCACAGGAAACGGCCCCAAATGCGGCGGTCAGCCATCCGGCAGTGGTGGCCTGTGGTCTGAGCTGAGCTGCAGTTTAGACGTCACTCCGAGCTGCCGACCGCCCACTGCTGAAATACCATGACTGACCCGGGTCCTGGTGTGTCAGCCTGGTGGCTTCTGCGGTATATAATTAGTCATGCCGACAGCCAAACTAGCCAAAAGTGACAACAGCTTAGTCGGTGATGACGACTGTATGTAGTGCGTGCGGCCAGCTTCAATCCAGCGGACTAGCGTTATTCACGGAGCTCTACGTAGTTTATTGTTTTTTTATCAATTGCTTTAACATGTATTTCTTGACCGACTGATGACTCATCAATATCATTAGCGAGTGTAACAAAACAGCTTTTGCCATTTTAAAAATGGAATTAAAACCGTAAGAGCACGCTCGTTATGCCTAACTAGAAATAGCACAGAAACGTTTCGTTCATAGCTATCTTCGTTCTAATGCTCGCCATAACCCGATCTTATGCTTTTGCCAAATTGTCAGGGAACTCAGATTTGTTTTTCAATAGAAAAAAAAACACAATTCCTACTAATAGTGATTTAGCTATTGACAACAAACCTTCCCTTACCTAATGGCAGGCACATTTCATAAGATGAAATTTAATTTTTGACCTTATTCTTCTATCGAGGGTTTAGTGTTTACACAAGCGGTACTGGAGAGAGCGATGATATATTAGTTTATTTTTATGCAGTGCTCGGTGTCCGGACACATTGCCGAGAGGCGATTTGCCGAACGTCATTTTGCCGAGTGCATTTCGCCGAATGTCATTTTGCCGGTGTGCTTTTTGCCGATGTGTCAAAAAGTTGAAATGCTTAAAGTCGAAATGCCATTTGTCGGTATGCCTTTTTGCCGAAATGCCAATTTGCCGAAATGCTTAGTAGCCGAAATGTAAATTTGCCGAAATGCGATTTGCCGAAATGTCGATAAGTCGAAATATCAATTAGTCGAAATGTAACTTTGCCGAAATGTCAATTTGCCGAAATGACAATATATATGGGAAGTATTTTAAGCATGTGAGCTATAAGACCGTTATCACTTTTGGCCTTTTTGCGACATTTCTGTTGTCCTTTGCAAAATGTATTTTCAGCTGAACAACGGGAAAGCAGCATGACTTTCAACACCCAGAAAAATGGCAAGCATGCATGAGTTGCGTGTGAAGTGAGACTCCGGTATGCGGTATGCCCATCTCCGTTAATCAGACTCGCTGTCTCTGAGCCGGCCTCGGAGCCACTCAGTCTCGCGGCTGTGGGCCCGCAGCGCCGGCCGCCGAGTAGTTAATCTGCACACGGCGGTAACCGCCAGGCGGTCTGTGTGAACCGGCGGTGGTTTTGCTGCATGCTAGCGGTGCTGGAGAGCGGTAACCCAGTTACGAGTCCCATATGGTCGGCCCGCCGCGCCGCGCCGCGCCGGCCGGCCGCAGTTAGCAGAGGACGGGCCTCCAGCGGACAGGGTGAGCGGACGGAGGACGGGCCTCCAGCGAGCGGAGGCAGGTGCCGAGTGTCCTCCGAAAATCCCTGCTAGTGGTAAACGAAGACAGGAAGTAGTGCTCTGTGTATAGGTTGGTGAAGTTAGACGGTACAGTGCCGAGACGGAGAAAGCATGAAGAAGTGAAGTAATCAGAGTGAATTAAGTGATGCTTTTACCTGGTATCAATCGGAACATACAAGTGAATAAGTGACAACGGTGAGAGAAATCAAAGCAAGACATGGGTTGACTGACTGGTGAAAGAGCCTACAAGTATATCAATATTCCAAGATCACTCGTGAGTGAAGCCGGAACACCGTCAGTGACAAACAGGAAGTGTCTGAGCGCGTGACACGGGCGCGTTTGGAGGCGTCTGAACGCCTAGTGACTGTCTCCAGAGATGAGGTCACGATGAGATGAGACGGCAGGAATGAAGGTCGCTCGTCTCGTGCTGTGTGTGGTGGGCGCGGCGGCACTGCTGCCTCGGGCGTCGGCCAAATTCCACTACGGCGAATACAAGACGATCGAGCAGATGAGGAGCGGGAGAGAGGAGACTGGCAGCCCTCTGATGAACCTCTGGTAAGAATGAGTCGTGCACTCTTCGGGCATGACGGTCATTTTCGAAAAAGTATTTGCAGCTTTTATTCTCGCTTTATCATTGATGACTTCTTGTCCTCATTGCAGTAAACTCGATAGATTGTCCAAGCCGAGCTATCTCGAGCGATCGGCCCTCTGCGAGCTCTGCACCATGGCTTCCAAAGCCCTGATACTAACAGCCCACGGGTCAGATGGTCACGGTTCAGTTGCGTCCCGCTGACCTCTAAACGCTCCATGTCCTCTACCCGGATTCCATCTGTCCTACCGTGAGCGATCCCACGGCGGTGCCTCGTCCTCCCAGGCCCGTTACACGCCTCACAGGCTCTGTGACGTCATCAGCATCCTGCGGTGGCCCGGGGCGATCTAGGACAGACTGTGGACGGCATACTGACCGATGAAAGCAGAACACTGGTAACGTTGCCAACGGTCAGCTTCCGGGGTCACGACCCCGACACACCGGGGTCAGATTCAAAACCTCGGCACACCCGGGGTCAGGACCTCGGCGGCTCGTGTGACTGCACAGTGCACTGAGGTTGAGAAGGGTTACCAGCTCAATGCAGGCATTGGCATTCAGCACTGCAGATCCCTGAGTGACTGCACTGAGTGCCTGAGTGACGGCACTGCACTCCTGAGTGCCTGACAAGTGTTTCCTTCTTAGAAATTTCAAGACAGTAGGTAGGTAATAACTTTAAATCTCAATTAATTTATTTAATGTCTCTGATGGACATCAGCATTTCCATGGCCGAGGTCATTTTCCTGATTGTCAGACTGTATCGGGTACTCTCCATTGTCCGACTCTGTCAGACTAGTTATACTTTATAGTTATACTTATAGTTATACTTTCTCTAGCTAGTATATAGAGCACCGCCAGAACGTGCTGAGTCATGTCCATTTGCGGCAAGTTGTGCCGAGTCATCATCTGCTTTCACGCTCTTTGCTTTCAAACCGTTCTTGATTTAAATGGACGTGAGTTATAACGGGCTAATCGAGGATGTCAGTTTCACTTGTAACACTTTTCGTTACTTAGGCGGCTTAGGCCATATACGCCATTTTCAAGAAAGCAGTATCTTATAAAAGTGTGTAGCAGTAATTTTTGTATGTCGTGTTTCACTTTGTTCGCTGCCCCATAATGCATTCATAAACTCAGGCATCATGTCGTCTCTTCTCAGGTCGTCAGCGATGGAAACGTTTACCAGCGGCATTTATCGGCTGCTGCAGGTCAGCACGGTACTCAAGTCTGACCTCGCTGACCTCTGGAAGTACCCAGACTACCCAGAGTACCCGGAGTACCCTCAGTACCAGCGGTACCCGCAGTATCCACGGTATCCAGAGTATCCGGAGTACCCGGATCTGGCATCGGCTGCCTCCGCAAGTCACGGCCTGAGCTTCATCGGAGTCTACCCCGACCAGGGAAACAAGTGCTACCGCTGTCCTGCAGACCAGGCTTCGGCTGCCTCCGAGCAGGTTATCAGTACGGAAAATGTCCTTCATAAGGAACCGAGCCAGGCGAGCACTGGGGCCTCAGCGCAAGCCGCCGATCCAACGTACCCAGATTACGGTTCATACCCGTCTTACGGCCAATATCCCGAGTACGGTTCGTATCCCGAGTACGGTTCATATCCCGAGTACGGATCTTATCCAACTTACGGCCCGTATCCCGAGTACGCTCCGTACTCAGATTATAGCGATTACGGTGACCGTGTGTCTGAAGAAGAGCGGGAGCCGCTGGTGGCTCCGTTCGTGCCTGGGGGAACCATCTGGATGGGGTTGAGGATCGTTCTGCCGGTGACGGTGACGGCAGCGACGTCGTCGGCACGGGAACGGGAAGCACAAGTGGAGGTTGGAAAAAGAAGTAGAAAATAGACTAGTGCGGATGTTTACATAAAAGAGAAGACTAATCAGCTGCCTGCTACAGGTTGCAATGGACGGGGATAATGAAGTAAAAGACGGACCGAGGCAGTGACATGGTAGTGCAGTGGTCGTGTCTCATGCTCGGGGATCAAAGTTTGATCATTGATGTGGTTATTGATCGGTGACCAGTGATGAATGGCCAATGAGCTATGACGAGTGACTATAGTGACCAATACCAAGTGAACGGTGGTTGAGTGGTGGCAAGTGACTCGTTTCCAGTGATAAGCGGTTGATAAACAATGATCAAACATACCATTGCTCAATAACCAGTGCATACAATGTTGCTTGCAACAAATGAATAAATAAATATCCATGATTTGTGACTGGTAATCGGAAACAATTAGATCAAGTGTCTTCGTAAAAGCGCGAAATGAATGATCATCATTCATCAATCTATTTATCAATGGCCATTGACCAGTGAACAGTGATCAATACCTAGCTATGAGCCTATGATCACCTATCATCATCACCAGTGACTAGCTGCATCGGTGTAAAAAATATTAATCAACGATAAGTGACGTAGTCACGTAGCTGTTTAGAAGTGCCCGATGACCGGCGTCAGTCAGCAATGACCGAAATGTGGTGAGCGCCTCATGAGTCGCAGTGAGCATCCAAATTTGGTAAAGATGAAGTGACATGCCGACCATGGATGAATTACAAGGAGCAGTGACATGACAAATAATCAATACCAGAACATGACGTTTTCTCGACGTTTTCTCGAGAAAATGACGTTTTCGTGACAATTGACATGAATGTCACTTTATAGTTCATGACATGAATTCACTTTATAATTCATGACATGAATTCACTTACCTCAGGTGAATACGATGGCCTAAAAAGCTAGCAATTTATCATGACTCTAGCAGGTAGTTCAACGCAAATTTTAAACCAAAACTTTTGATTTAATTAAGGAATAGAGAAGTCGTAAAAACGTAACTTGGTACGCATATCGCTATGACGGACAAACGGACAGGCAGAAGGGCAGATGGACAGATGGACAGACGGACAGACGGACGGACTGACGAATAAACGGACACAGACGGGTCACGGACAGACGGACACAGGCAAACGGACACAGACGCATGTAGATTGACAGCTGGGCAGACAGACACATACGGAAAAACGGACATAGGAAGCTAGACGGAAAGACGGACAGATGAACATACGGACGTCGGACGGATGGACAAACGGACACGAGACAGGCAGCCATTGGTTGGTGGAAACTTGAAACAGACGGTTGTGCATATTGACGGGTACAGACGTGAGAAGAACAGTCAAATTGCCAGACTGACCACTGACCAGTGACCGATTAATGCATGAGATGGACGGACAGACGAGCAGACAGACGGACGATTCACGAAGCAACGGACAGACGAACGGACAGATGGACGATTCACGAAGGGACGGACGGACAAACGGATAGACTTATCTCTTTCCAAGATTGCTTTTTATGAAAATTGAAATTGTTTTGGTAAAACTTCCCTCAGAATTCATAAACATAATTTCGCGAAGCTTTTATATAATTTATTAATCATATAGGTAGATCATAACATCGGACAGAGGAGCAGGAAACTTTTTATACATACATAGGTGTCGCTGCCATCGCTTCTGCTTCAGTTGTTGATGGTCAGCTGCGTTGGCACGTGGGCTGCGAAGTGCGAAGCATGCTGTGTTGTCTCGATAGTGGTTCAGTGCCAGTGTGGATAGAATAGATGCGTGATTTTTGTTTTCGATTGGTACTATCTGTTTGGCTTGCGGACGGCGACGGACGACGGTAGCCCGTCTGGCGGAGGATAGCTGATGGAGCCGCCGGAGGTGAGTACCTACCTACCTAATTCCTGGCTTCACTTCGCATGCGTGTGCGAATGCAATCCTTCCTCGCCGCCCAATATCGTTGCCCGGTAATGGCGATTCGCACCCTTATTCGTTTTAGCCCCATTTCATACTGGCTGTCTCTTTCAGCTGCTTTCGGCACTTGAAGCCGGACATTAGATAGGTATCATTGGTCGCATTCGTCGCTAGCTCTCGGACGCTGTGCTTGGGATGTGGCGACATCTATGTCAGCAGGCCTACTATGTGGTCTCTTGTACAGATGTCGCTAGAAATCGCATTGTCCCATTCTTGTGTTCAGTGCAAGAGGAATGGACGATAGGGTAGTTCTGAGGTTCTGCCTGCAGCTGTCCAATGGATCTCACGTCCGCGACAAAAATGACATTGAGTTCGATGCTCTGGATTCCATAGGGAAGGTATATAGGTATGGCCGGGTGGCCTGTCGGATCGTGACGGCTTCAGCCACGGCGGAGGAAGCCTTTCGTCATTTTAGGACGTACCGGATGCTCCGCGGTCCAAGTTTAGACGGTATAGTTCTGAGTCGTAGTATAGCTCCGCGTCAATCTCATTCAGCCTGAGCCAGTCTGCGATCAACGCTTAACTACGCTCACATGTTGACAAGCTATTTAGTTCGAATAAGTGCACAGTAAACGCGCACCCCAAAATCAAACGGTTGGTCGGTTATTATAGCCCTAGGTATAAAGGGCTTTGATTATAGCCGAACGTGACAAACTTGTCAAACTGTCTAAGCACAAAGGTTTCACATAGCCCGAAGATCAGTGCATTGTTCGTCATCAAAGCATTCATGAAAGTACTGTGTGATCTTTTTTTACATAAGTAGCAAACGCTCATCTTGTCAACCCTGAAATTGTGCATGATATACCTGACATTTGAAGATTTGATACCTTTCTTTCCTTTGGTAGACATGAAGATATAGCGCTTATTGGACATCCGATGTAACTTGTAACCGTTATAGCTTCTTCGTGACAGTTCAGCCATCTTTCTGCGACCATCGGTCGTACATTTAACCGATTTAACCGCGGACCGGGGGCTGCACATCACTGAGTCAAGGGGAAGTTGTTATCAAGTGGGGTCCGACTGTCCCATCGCTGCTGTGTCCGGCCGTTTGTTCTCATTGGATCGGGCCGACAGCCGACACGGTGCCGTCACTGTCCCAGTATATCACCATTAACGTAACGCGTTACATAATGGGACGTAATTTCCAGTGCCGAACTTTGCGTGGCCCGTTCTGGCACAGTGCACATCCATTAGCTCTCTGAAAAGGGCGCTCAAAGGGGCCGCCAAAAACTCCCATCGAGTGGGGTGCGGCCGGGCCATCGTGGACGCTCGTGTGAAGGGAGAATGTACCACGAACAATTAACAGGACATGTCACACTGCTGTACCTGCGATGAGAAATGATCATGCGACGAATATGCCCGGAAATGAGCTTAATTGAATTATTGCTTAGCTTTAATTGTGATCATAGTGGGAACTACCAGGCAATTCTGGAATAATCGTAAAAAAGTAATAAACTCTCTGCACTCAGCAAAGCTGCGATGTAACTTCAAACCCTCGAGCACCGATTTATGTTGCATCTTCTGTTCCCATGCAAGTTTGGCAGCTTTTGTATCTCGATCTGAAATGCATCGTTGCTTCACGATTTGCTGTCTAACTTTGCAATAACTGAAATTTAACTCGAAATTCGAGACAAATGGAGGCTTTATCTTTCGCGAAACTTTGTTACGATATGTCAAAAACGAACACCTATACATTGGTTCCCGGATCCTCGGTAGTCCTTCGTTGTATTGGAGATGCATCGCTATTCCTTGATTATAGTTGTGCAGCATCTTGCATGCCTCTATCATAAGGACTAAATGGACATCGAACACCGTCTAATGCGGCGCTGAAGCTGCAGAACTCAGAAGTGGGTCTGCGCCTGCCGGACTCTTCATTCCACGCTAGCCACCTCCTGCCTCGGTATTCCTCGCTGCGCCCACCAGGAAGTCTGCCTGTCCCGGGCCGGCGGCGCCACCACAAGTGGCCGCGCTCAGCTCGGCGTCAGCACCGCTGACTTGCACTCCTCGCCAGCCGGCTGGCTCACGCAGGATGACGTGCACTTCTTCAGCTCACGCAGCGACGCGGACGCTGGCTCTGACGCCGCCCGTGTGAACGCCCTGCCCTGCGGCGGCCCGCGGAGGCACGGACGGCCGCCCGGCGCGGCGTGGCGGGCTCCGAGGCGGCCCTGAGAGGCTGGGTGGACGATGCTGCTTCTGACGGTGACGTGCCGACCGGCCTGTTCTGAGCTCACTTAGTTGACATGAAGCGTATGCTGGGCTTCGAATTATACACAGGCCACAGGCTACTGGTTTTGGAGACAGTTTTATGTAAATCTCGTGGGGAAAAAGGAGGGGCAGCCAGGCGACTGTTCCTCTGTCCCACATCAATTTTATTTCATCACACCCTCAATTACTGATGTCGCCAGTCACTTTTCTACCGCATCTGATGTTTCCATGTTCTTCCTGTTCCCCACCGATGTTCTGTCCCCCTATCGCTACTGATGTCGCTTCCGACTTCCCCAACCTATGCTGATGTCCCTTCCCGTTTGTCCCCTCGTCGCTGATACAGCGTCATTTCATGCCGCGGCGTGGCGCCATTCCACAAATGAGCAGCGCCTGAGACATTAGAGCCGCAGTTCCGGTCATTTAACCGGGCCGCCATTAGCCACTTTTTGCCGGTGACGTCACCTCAGTGTAAGCGGCGCCGTCTCGCGGCGAGGAGACTGCGCCGGAAATCGCCGCGATCCGCCGCGGCGACGTTCGATGCCCATTTGGAGCGGCCGTCGAAAAACGCCACCAGTCGGCGAATGGCCGCCGGCGGTCCATTTCTCACAGTTTTTGCGCGTGGCCTTGTCGACGTTCGTCGCTCGCGACGCGTCCTTTGTCCGCGTCGGCGCCGACGGGGGCCCGCGCCGCGCCGCTGCAGCTCCGCGCGCGGCAGTGGCTGAAGATTTACGGCACGCGCCCCGGCAGACCGGTGCCCTGTTAATCCACCCATACCATCAGTATGTATGTGAGATTAGGCATTTAAGCAGATTAGCTCGATAATCTCTGACCCGGCTCTAGTGGGAGCTGGTCGTTTGTTGAGTAATGAAATTAGGAGCCGTTTCTGTAAGTGATGATGGCCTGAGGGGGCAACAGGAAAATCCGTTTCTTCAATCGATTAAAATAGCGCGCTTGTAAGCATAAAATGAGCCTTCCCGGTGATTAGGTGTGTTAGCGATAATTACGAGCGAGCGAGCGCAGCGAGCGAAGCGAAGTCTTTTCAATATAACGGAAAAAATCTCAGTATGAGCGGCCCGGCCCAGCCCGGCCCGGCCCGGCCCGGCCTGTAACGCTTTTGAGAGGCTTATATCTCAGCCTCAGCAACCGCTGGACCGATTGGTCTGCGGTCTTTTCTGCTGGGTAGCCCCATCCCTTCTACCCCGTAATTGACTACCGGGTGTCCCAAAAGTA